TAAAAAAAAAAAAAAAAAAAAAATGAATAATAAATTATAATTTTACCTATTTTTAATACCTTCTTATACAATCCAAAGCTCTTTGAAATTCATTTTCTGCTAATCCATATTCTAAATTGAGTATAGAACATTGTTCAAGTGTTACTGACATACCAGTGCGATCTTTAGCACTTTTACAACTAGTAAAGCGCAAACCTAAAGGTATACAAGATGATGAAATTATGTTCAAAATAATGACATAATATATAAATATAAATATATAAAAAATATACCCTTAAGTTTACGACACACACGTGATACTAATTGAAGTACTTCCACATTTTTACTTTTGTTTTTGTAAAGTGATTCTTTTAAATTATCCATCAATTTGGTTAGAGAAATCTCTTGTCTATTACAGTTAATGTCATTAGATATATTGAGTTTACGATATTTTGAACAAAATTCACTAAGGCGTTCAAAATTATCAATGTTACTACTGTCTTGAGGTTTTGTATTTCCTAAATTTTCAGCAAGTGTAGCCATCTCATTAATACCTATGTTGAAGAAAATTGGAGTAACTCTAAATGGTGTTTTTAAAGATATAAGTGACTGGACTAAATCAGGAACTGGAATAAGTACACATAATGAGTTTTTAGACCCTATTATACGTGGCATTATTTCTTTTTTTGGATTATCCCTGAAAAAAAATATATATATAATTGAAATACATAGAATCATTATATTATTTAATATAATATCGTACTTGACAGCCTGAGATAATGGCATAAGAGAGAAGTTTACAGTAGCCAAATCTTCAACAGCTACAGCCATATCACCCCACATATCAATTTCGTTTCCATAATAGCTTAAAAGACATTCAAAAGATGCAAGACATCCTATTGATGACAATAAAAATAGGAATTCTGGATCAGGTTTTTGACACCACAACTTTGCCATTAGGCCACTGACTAATGCTGTCAACTAAAATATGAGAAAAAAAGACATAAATTGTATAATTAAATTTTTTATATTGAAATCATAAAAATAATAAATACCGCTTGTGAGAAACAAACATGTCTTCTATATCGAACATTGCAAGACCTTTCTGCAGATCTTTTATCTTCTTGAACTCTGAAAACACTGTGAGTAAGTCGAGCAGTTTTTAGTAGACCATCCATAGCTTGACGTAATTTTTTCATACTTGGTTTTAACTCAATTGCCCAATCCGTCATTAAGTTAAAATCAAGGCCTTCTGTAAATTTATTTCTAGAAGATGAACTAAAAATAAAAAATTAAAATAGATAACTATTTATACATACTATGTAAATGTACATGTATGTGTTTATAAAAATACCTAAAATTTTTAGGGCCTTGTGCTTCAGTATTTAGTTTAGAGGTAACAAGGTTATTGAATCCAGAGTCTAGGCTAGTTGGTTGATTTACGCTGCTTAATTTCTAAAAGTAAAAAATTAAAAATAATTTATAAAATGAAGTAAAATTAAAACTATATTAAAAATATTATTAATTTAAAAAACTAAAAAATATTAAAAATATTAAACTCAAAGCCACAAAAAAATTAATGAAAAGTCGCGGATACGTATTTCGGAAACAATGTTACCATTATCAACGCTAAACACATACTGACGTTACACATTAGCGTTGATAATGGTAACATTGTTTCAGAAATACGTATCCGTGACTTTTCATTAATTTTTTTGTGGCTTTGAGTTTAATATTTTTAATATTTTTTAGTTTTTTAAATTAATAATATTTTTAATATAGTTTTAATTTTACTTAATTAATTAGCCACAAGTGATCAATTTTTATTATATAATTTATAAAATGTTTTATAAATTATTATAGAAAAAACTTGCTTGATTTGTAATTGAAATATCTGATTTAAAACTTTGGCTTCTTTGAGAACGTAATCTGACAGCAGGACTATTACAACGCCCACAGAGAAACTTAACTTTGCTAACAAGACACATAATACTAGCTTCAATATTTAACTGAGTAAGTTCCCAAGGTTCGGGTTCTTCAGTTGGTTTATAATAATTAGCTGATGGTGAGTTACACATTGCATAAGTATCTAAAAATTGACCATTTTTCATTCCATTTTCACTAATTATAGAATTTTCTTTGGTATCTATGAAAAATTATAACAAATGATTAAATAAATAGTTTTGATTGATGTTAAGAAAATACCAGATGGATCTATTTTTTTTATATGATTTTCGTCTATTTCTATGTCACATTCAGGAAATAACACAAACTGTTGTTCATCTTGAATGTTATCAACATCTTGTTTTTCTTTTAAATTTCCAGTGCTATGATTCATAAACATTTTTGGGCTTTCGGGAGTGCATAACTCTTCTGTATCTGGTGATTGCAGATCAAAATTAATTTGACTTGCTATTCGTTTAAATGGAGATATTTGATAATCAGTGTTATTTTTAGAATAAAAACAATTTTCGGTTAATACAGGAGTAACTTTGTGTTCTTCAATAAAATTAAAAGCTTCTTCAACAAGTTTTGGATCCCAAAGACTTAATAAAATCCTTGTCTAAAAGTTATAAACGTGAAAAATTAAATTAATTTATATTGGTTTTACAAGCTATCAAATTTTATTTTACTTTAGATATCATATCATTGCAGATAGGCATCATTCCATCTGTTTGTTTTTCTTTAGCTAAATTTAACAGTGTTTTCATTGCATCAACTACCTCTCTTCTAAGTAATTTAATAGCTTGAATTGCATCAAAGGCCATACAAATTTTACTACTCACAATAGATTGATCGTTTGACTTTAAAGGCACTTCTTTAAGTTGTTGTAAAAGTCTAAAAATTAAAAAAATAAAATATTATAATTTAGAAAACTGAATTCATTAAATTCAATATTTTAACTAACTTTATCAACCCTCCAGTTTTAGATTTATGAGAATGTGCTGTAAAAGCACCAACAGTAATTATATCATAAAATCCACTTTTTTTCAATGTATCATTTTGTACCCAAATACGTTGTAAGTGCAAATTTGTTGGGACAAATTCCAATGTTCGATCATTTTTTCGAGAGCTTGGCTTAAAGAAAATTCCTAAATAAAAATTAAAAAGGTTACTTACGTGAATCTAATTTTATTTTATTTAACTCTAAATTATGTTATACCTTTTGTATTTTCCAGGTTTTGTTTAGCTTGAGAATAAGAATGCAACAGTTGTAAGTGACGATCAAGTAATTCTACTTGTTTAGAGTGCCATGGCTCTGTAAGTTCACCCATTCCTGAGACTTCTTGCAATAGTTCTTTTTCTTCAAGTATCCAAATATTTCTATTGTAAAATTTAGAAATTGAAAAAAAATATAAATTTTAATTATTTAGTTTCATTAAGCTAAAAAGTACTAACAATAACTGTTTGGGCAGATAAAAACATAATTTGCTTTCAGCCATAATTTCATATAGTGAAATATCACCTCTTAATCCAGAATGAAATCGATATGTAACAAATGATATATTATCAAACAACATGTATAAATAATTCTGTAGTGGAATGCGAAATTTCAATCCTAACCTTGGAGGAAGTGACTGTGTTCTTCGGTGATTGTTTATCTTTAAAGTATTTATAAGATTACAATTAGATAAGTTTTAATGTTTTAAAATAACTTACTGATTTATTAGAATTATTATGAACAAGTGATTTACAGGGAGTTGATTCTGTACTCATGTTATGCCCGATTTGCTTGTCCGGTCTACATATAGTTAATGTTACAAATCCAATTATTCTATCAAAATCTGATTGAACATTTAAATATGTTAAAGGTAGACGCACTCGTTGACTATTACATCGTGAATGTGTTGTTTCCAATAGTGAACAAAGAACAGTTTCACAGTGTCCCATTTTTATAGCAGTACCAGAAATTAATTCTCGTACATCATATACTGTTATTCTTATAATTGAATCTTCAGTTAAACCATCATTATGTTGAAGCCATATACTTCTTAAAAATGTTGGATTACTGCTATCAATTACAACTTCTGTATTAGCATAATTAATCCAGATTTTTTCACAAGGAATAAATAGAGATACAACGATAACTGGGTTTGGAGAACGACCATGACCATCACACACAAGATTATCACAAGAAAAACAAATTTCACATAATGGAGCTCTAGCCAAATCTAAAAATATGAAATTTTATATTAAAGAAAAAAAATATATATATATATGAATATAAACAGTGACGGACAGTAATAATTGTGGTAATAATTTCAATGTAATGTGGTAGTCAATTGCTTCAATAATTTGGTATTATATATTACTGTTATAGCTTTAATGTCACTCTACATCAAAATATTATACTACTGCTATAGTAGTAATCTCCATCAATGTCTTAAACAAAAATGTTAACCTAATTTTGGTTGGTTTTTACGCAATCTCCACATATCAATATCTAGTTCAGGTTTTCGCTTTTCTTCAAGTTGTTTTCTGAGGTTTAAAAGTCGAGCTCGCATAGTGTCATAATTGGCCTGTTTTAAGGCTTCAAACCAAGAATCTCTTTCTAGTTCTGTTCTAGCACCAATTTGTTGACAAATACCATTTTCAAATACTAAAAGTATAATGTTAAAATAAAGATAAAATTTTAAGTGTTAGTAAATATATCAAAATTAAAATTAAAAAAATAATTGACATTTTAACAATTTTTTTTAAATATTTGATTTTAGAACATAAATAATATAAGTATTAAGTGGCTTTCAAAACTAGAATGTTTTTTTTTTACTTTACCTCTTAATTCTATTTTAACACACAAAAAAATGAGTTGTGCTAAATTTGGGACCAATCCATTTAGGTTAGCCTGTGCCCCCTGACCTATTAAATTGAGTAGAAGAGGCAAATTTAATAGAAATAACTGATCTATGTCTCATAACTTTTTTTGCTTAACTTAGAATTATGAAAGTAAAAATCAAGTAAAGGTAGTTTTACAACAAATTCAAAAATAATAACTTCAATGTGGTTTTCTTAATAAATATTAAGTAGAAATATGAATATTTTGTATACTTACATACAACTGTATACATACATATTTTTACTGTATGTAGTGTTTTTGTGGGATATTGAATTTGTTGTAAAATTACCTTTACTTGAGTTTTACATTCATAATTCTAAGTTAAGCAAAAAAAGTTATGAGACATAGATCAGTTATTTCTATTAAATTTGCCTCTTCTACTCAATTTAATAGGTTTAAATTTAATTTAATTAAGTGCCACCCTAATAAGTATATTATTGAAAAAATCAACATAAATGTAATGAATAAAAATCTTTCGATAAATAGCATTATGTCAAAAATACTTATACCTAAATGTAATAATGAGAAACTCACCAATATGAAAATTAAATGATCCTTCTAATGGAGATTCGTCTAATTTTACAGTATAATTTTGTAAAATTATAATACCCAATAAATCAGAGAGTTGGTCATTAGACTTTAAGTAAAACAGTAAATTACCTCTTAAACGGCACCATCGTTCAAAATTAGCTTTAAAAATATAACAATAATAATGATTAATTTCTATATTTAAAAAGAACTAAATATTATAACTTAAAATTGTTTTATAAATCGGCTACTGAATAAAAAATCAATTAAATCCCATAAATAAAAGAAGATAAAAATTGATCACTAATGTAAAATTAGTATGAGTTTAGTGCTGATGATGGTAACATTTTCCTCTAAATACATAGCATAATTATATAGTAATTTTAAGATTTTTTGAGTTAAATACTTTTTATAATTTTTAGTTTTAATCTCATATTGCAAGTAAAATAAATACTATATTTCTTAATTTTAAAATAAAAATTATTAAGGTTTCTATTAACATTTTAGTACATATAATTACATTGGAATAAGATCAAAAGAACATGTTAACTAAACATTTTTTTAAAACCATATTATATAGTTTTTTAATATCATTTGTATTTGCAAGGATAGACCTCTTGTAGTTAAATATTAATACTTTAGTAAAAGTACCCTATGAGTTATATTGTTCAAAAAATAAATTCAATAAAAAAATAGAATATTGTTTAAAAAGAAAATTTTTTTTTGATTAATTGTGCAGAATTAGAAACCAAAATGATAAAGTTAATTAGTACCAACCAGCCTCTGAAGTTAAGTGAAATAGTTAATTTTAAAATGAAATTTAAACTATAATTTTTTTATGTTCAACTTAATTTATATCAAGAGATATTGTTGACCAACCAACAAATAGAAAATATTATGGAAATTAAAAAATTTCACTTTTATTTAGGTTGAACAAATAAAAACAGGCAATATTTTTTTCTGAATGGGCAAACGTTCGTCACATTCGTTTTTGATAAAATTGGCAATTTAAGCTAATTCAAATGTTAAAATTAATTTTTTTGACTTAAAAGAAAAAAAAATTTAAATATGTTTAACTTTATATTCTATGTCAATTAGTTTTATATAATATTTATGAATATCAGTGTACCCTATTATAAGGTATATTAAAATAAATTAAATTACAACACCAAAAATTTTAACACAAAAATAGCACATATTTGAATATGATAATCATGTTCATTATATCCCAAAAATTTTTTTTTCATAGTATAGTATATTACATAAGCTTTAATTTAAGATAAATTAAAGTGTCAATATTTCCGGAAAATTTTCAAAAATTGAGAAGACAAAGTATAATTTGTGTGCAAAAATTGTTATATAGAATCCCCCCTGTGGTCAGGTCAAAAATCAAATTTTCAAAAAATGTACATCAAATGAAAGAAGTAAATATGAAATATTTATGAAAAAATAATTGTATTGATTCATACATTTTAAAAATGTATGGTAGTTTTAAGTAAAAAATGTAAATCATTAATTTTTAAAATTGTAATTTTTTAAAATATTTCTCCCATTTATAAGGAACGAGGGGAATTTTTTCAATTTTTAAGGGTAATGTCTTCAACTAGATACAATTTGTGATCTTTTGACGTATTATTGAGAAAAATCGGTTCAGTGAGAGGCGAGAAAAAGTAGTGACAGACACAAAATAAAAAAAATAAATGTGTCATGGTAAAATTAATACCTTCTCAGCTTCACATTGAAGCTATAACAGAATTAATACTATAAATAGTAAAAATGTGTATAAATCTCAACATTTCAGAAAAATATGTTTTTTTTTCAATTTTTTTTAGCATACTAAAAATGATTATTATTTTAAATATACAAATCAAATTTTTTTTAATAATTACACTTATATAAATAAAATTTGTTAATATAACTCGATTTGCACTTATTTTAATTTTGTATTCTAGCTGTTGATATAAGCCCTAAAAATGTTCTTAGATAAAAGATCACATAAGATATTTTAATGATACTACTAATTAAAACTTAATAAATTAACTTAATTTTAATAAAAAAAATATCAATAAGACAAATATATGTTTTTTTCTTAATTAAAATTTTACTAAGAATTTTCTTATCATATCATTGGATTCAAATTACACTACCAAAGTAATAGTAGGTACATAAATTACACTAAATGCATAAAATAGATAAAAAAATAATTATTTAAAAATAATTGTATTAATGGGGTGACAATAAGTTTAGGAATAAAATTTGATTTCATGCATTATAAAAAAAATTATACTACTAAAATTAGGATTGTCTTTTTAATGAATGGATTAATTGTTAAATATGTCCAACTGTAAATGTTTAACTATCATGCGACGACATTAGTGTGCATGCTATTTTTAAGAAGAATTTTAATTAAATAGATTATAAGATTCTATATTATATATTATAAGAACCTTAATAAATATTAGTGAATTATTGCTGTCATAGATATCACAAAACTGAAGTTTTTAATGAAAACATACCGAATAGTTGTTATTGATATTATTTATCAGATTAATAATAACTTTAAGTAAATGTAAATCACTTTTAAGACTATATACCTTTTTGTGATCCGCCATAACAGTTCAGATCGCTTAATCGATCACGTTTTTTGCTTCTCTTGGAATCTTTTTCTGAAATGGTTTAAATACATCTAATAGTCTAAAATAAATTTAATTTGAAGGAATGAATGATGAATTTATACTATCTATAGAAGAGGTAAGGTATTGCATTAATTTTTAACTTTAGTCACTTTGGACACTATTAAGAGAACTTGAAAATATTTTAAGCATCTTTGCTCTCTATATAAGAAGTCGCTCTATAGTCATTTCTTTAAATGTAAGATTCTAAAAAGATTTGGAAAATATATTAAGGATAACTGTCCAGAAATTATTTTATTGAGATTTGGTAGATTTCAATAAGTGGTAGCTGTTTGAATAAAAAAAAGTAGCTTACCCATATATTTTTATATTTTTACTATTACATTATTATTAAACCAATAAATTCATTAGTTAAATAATTTTAGATATTTCTTAAAAAAATAACTAAGTGATATTAAAATATGCAATCAATAAAAATATTCTCATCCAGTGATGTATTTAGAAATTTTTTATGGGGAAGGTCCAGGTAGCTTTTCAAATGTAGAGTAAATAGGAAAATTAATTTCTCTACTCTACGCATTACTACGATTTTATTTGTCCACAGAAGGTTCCACTGAACCCCAAGGACTTTCCTGTAAATACGCCAAGTTTCTCATCAGAAATATATATAAATACTATCTATAAAAAATTAATGTTTTAAAAATTTGTTATACTTTTTACCCAACCTTATAAATAGTAATCTGTACATAATTTGAATGATCATGCAATAACGTGTTACAAAGTAACAATACACACAAATTATTAAAAACATGCCAAGCTTTAAAAATAGAGCTTTTATTTTAAATATCAATTGAATTTTATATAATAAGAATTGTTAAAGAAAAAATATTAATATAGTATATCACAAAATATTAGCTCACTTTCAGTTTTCCTAAAAAACCCTTCTTGTCGTTCACGAATTAATAGCAAACCTTCTTTATCAAATTTATTTGATGGCTGTTGAGCTAATGTTATCATCTCTTGTTTATTGAACCGCATTTCATTAGTCTACCCTAAAATAATAGAATAACAATGTGTTTAAAGCAGGGCAAGAAAACATTATAAATAATGTTAAAATTATAACATTTAAAATGAAATTTATTGTCGAAACTTAATTAAAAATGAAAGAAAATATTAATAAATATAAAACATTGTTTAACATAATACAACTTTTAACGTAAAACAACAATTTTCATTAAAACGAAAATTAATTTTTTTCATGTTATATTTAAAAAAATTCTAAGTAAGAAAACAGTAGTTAATTGACTTTTATTTAAATTACTTATGATAATGAATTATGATTCAAAACCTTTTAATGAATAATGTTTTAATATAAAACATTAATCATAAATAGTGTATAGTTTTTAAATATTAAATGTAACTGTAAACATTAAATAAAAAAACAATTTTTAAATTAACTAATTCTTTAAAGGTATAATATCTTGAACAATACACTTGGTGCTAGTGAAATTAGCTTTAGTGCACTTTCTAGAGTAAACTATTAGTATAAATAATAGTACACTAATATCAATTAAATAAAATTTTAATACAAAAATAAATAAATAACAATAAAACAAAATAAAAAGTCATCTGGTTTAATTCTTGGTAAGTAATACTTCCTAAAATCAGTGTTGAGAAGGAACTGGTTCCAAAAGGAACGGATTCCTGGAACGAGTTCTTTTTGAAGGAACGATGCTAGGAACTGCTTCCTTTTAAAATAAAGGAGCGAGGAAAATGAACAAATTCCATTTTTTAAGGATCGTGAACGGAAATTACAGTTCCTAAACATTTTTATAAACATGTTTTAGTGTAGTTTTCTTCGTATCTAGACATTAAAATATTAAGGTATTTTTAGTTGACTTTTGACAATGGAAGTCCTCTATATACCCAGCCGAGATCATAGCTGTTTAAATGAATCAATTGACTATAAATAGAGTTATTATCACATGTAGGTATACAGTAAATATTATTTATATATGTGTACATATATTAAATAATGCACCGAATATTATCGTCGTTTCTTGTTAACTAATATATGTTAAAGGTTTTGGGTTTTCTGATTTATTATTTCTAATTTATATGTAGACAATAGACATTGGTAGCGTTGACACAAGTCGTTAGCATAATTTTTGAATACTTTTAGATAAGGAATACTACAAATTTGTTTTGTATTCAACTGCTGATGAAAATCATTGATGACCGTTATCATTATCTCATTGCCACAATTTATTAAATAACTTTGTTACATAAAAGGAACGAAGAGTGGAACGAGTTCTTATTTTGGAGGAACTGGATCTGGAACAAGTTCCTTCTTAATATAAAGAACTAGGATTTAGAACGAGTTCATATTTTAGAAAATGAACGAGGAACAGAACGAGTTCCATTTAAAAAGGAACTTTCCCAACACTGCCTAAAATAAAATAGCACATTAGAATATTTAAGATTTTAATTATTACAAAAATACTAAGTATAATAATGACAAACTTAGTACATTAGTCATTGGAAAGTAGTTAGACTGATACAATAAAAAAATTAGAGTGTCACTAATATATCAAAAATATTTGTTAGTCACATTAATAGAAGAGTTCGTATTAAAAAAAACGAAATAGAATAATTCAAAATTTAAAATTCAATATTAACAAAAATGTACATATTATACATAATTAAATTACCTGTTGTTTACTTAATTGTATAAATCCGTAAACTACCACATTTTGCTTAAAATTTGTAATAATATAATGTAATTTTAAATTAGGCTAGCTATAATTATTTACTGTATAATTAGTATACTATGGCTAAACTTTTAATGCAGTAGTAGTAAAAATGTTTTATTTGTTTTAATAAATTTGTTTTTGGAAATGATAACAATAACATCGGAATAAAAATGTGAGATAAAAAAAATTTGTGATATGAGCATTGATTAATTTTATGTATGATACGTACATCTAACAAATACATAATGTATTTATCAGAGAGATCATTTCAGATTTATTTAAAGAGAACAAATTTTTAACAAACCCATCAATTCACCAAGCCTTACAACCCATTCACATTAAGCTTCACATAGAAAATGCCGATGTTATGGCGTAACAAAAGGAAGGACAGATGTGATGCTTATTACCCTAAGTTTGACCGAAAATTCATATTTTAATAATTTAATCAACAAAAAATGCTTTTATTTTATTTACTTCTAAAATTTAAAGTCATTTAGTCGATCAAATGAACTCTGTTCAACCATTGAAAAATAACTTCAGGCGAAAAATTAAATTAGATTCCTCAAACATCTTGTGTCAAATTACGCCTATGGACTATAGTTCAATAACTACAAAATAATATGTTTTGTATTTTATGGTGATTTAAAGTTGTATTTGGTCATGATGCGAATAACAGAAAGTGGCTGTTCATTAAATTTCTGCTATATTTTAAATTAAGTAGCATGAAATATTAAATAAATTATATATTTCTCATCTCTTTCTATCAAATTATATAAATATATACTTTTATTGCATTTTTTTAGATTTTAATCATTCATTAGATCCTCTGGTTTTTCTTAAAGTATAGCTCAGACAGCAAGAGTGTGGATCGACCGATCTCAATTTTTACTAAAAAATTTTCTAGGGCAAATGCCCTGCTGCTACTCTCCTAATGACATCATTGATTTTATTATTAACCATGTAATATATATTATCTGAACTCAGACCATAGATATCCTGACACTAGTACTATGACAAAATCTTAAATTTTATAACGAACTGAAATAGTTAGATCACAATTCAGACGCAGACGAATAATGCGGTTTTATGTGAGAAATATGACATTGTAAGTATCATAAACATTAACTACAAATTATAACTATAACAAAAGTAGTGAAAAAAGAAATTATGAATATGGTCACAGGTATTCATTGCAATGTCTAATAAATTCTAGAAAAGACACTGGAACGCGTAATTTTTAAATTTAGTATAATACTTTTTTTGATTTAGCTAATTTATTTAAATTTTTTTATTTAAAAATTTGTTTAGTCACAATTATGCTAATTTGAAAATACCTTTATTGAGTATTCTCACATAATAGCTACTCTTATGACCAATTTTTAATTTCAGTATTGAGAATTATGCTTAATTAAGTACTTAACATAATTGTGCTTGATGTTTAGTGTTACGCTAAAAATCATAAATAGATTTAATAATGTAGGATGAAGAATTTCACAATTTACTCTGTTCTTTTATTGAATTTTAATTTTCCAATCCCAATTATCATCACAAAATAGTATATAATAATAACTAATGGTAAAAAAAAATTATACGTTTGTATTTGTGTAGCAGTGTCGACTTTAACCCTGTGCAAGAATTATTTTGGCGCTCTTTAAAAAATAGTATATATTTTCTGAGCTGTCTAGTATCATCGTACTTGTCGTTCAATGGAAGATTGCGTAGTCTTTAAAACTAAGCATTTAAAATAGTAATTAACAACACTAATAATATTAAATGAAATATTGTCGAGTCTACTTTTTAAAATTGTATACACATTAAAGGCTTAACAAAAATAGAATTTTAGGGGGTGGTAAAATAATTGTTCCTTCATTTTAAAAATATTTTTTATGCAACAATATTTGTAATTTTCTAAGTTTTTGAAATACTTACTTACTTCATTGTTGCGTCCACCAGACGTGTCCCTGCGGGGGGAGCAATGAGGGCGATCACCCCAATACAATGTTTTTAATAAAATAAATTACAATGTGTAGTGGCGGATTCAAAAAGTAATGGGTGTTCTTGAGAGATGGTGGGTGGATAGCGATTTTAAAATTTTAAAAATCTATATCCTATCTACTATTTTTGACTTTGGCGCTATTGAAATAAGTGATCTCATCTTATAAGTGAGAATATATTTTAAAATAAATGATTGGGGTTTGTTAATTATTTAAATTCTATAGAACTAACATTTATTGGCAATATACATACTGTCATAATACTATTAGCTTAATAATTTATTTTTTGTTCAGCAGTTACAATAAAATATGGAATGATTGCAATAAGAAAAAATAGTGTTTTTATTTGTATCACTTCAATTTTATTTGTATAACTGAAAACATTTTATCGTTAACTAACAACTGAATACACTTATTATTTTACTAAGCTACTAATAACTCTATAAGTGACAATTTTTAAAATAACAATGAATAAATTAATTAAAGTTGTCTTAATTGTTTAATTTCTACAATTATAAAAATAGCTAACAAGAGGGTACAAATTTTTGATGATTTTATGCCTTGTTCATTAAAATAGTCCAAAATTAACAAAAACTGGGCTTGCTAATTAATGACTTCTAGTGCTAAGTATATACATTAATAACTATTCGTTATATCACATTGTAATTATCTATACTCAAAAATAACAGAATACTATATTTCAATATTATTGTTAATTTTTAATGGTAATATATTACCATTCAAAATTTTTTTACCATTTAAAGTGTTATACAATATAATTATTTTGATCTTATAAATAAATATTTATATTGTATAACAACTCTAATGCTTTGGTTTTAATGAATACAATCAAATAAGTTTAATAAATGTATATTTCATTCATGATTAAATATAACTTTTTAATCATTATTTAAAAATTAATATTAACCATTTTAATATTTAAGAGCAATGAATCTTAATATAAAATAGAACAAGGATAAAAACGCTTTTCTAGAAAAATTACTTAGCGTGCTCGGATTTTCAAATTTTTTTTTTCAACGAAAGTCTCGGTTACGAGACCCCGGGAAAATTATTGCCAATGGTCGGAAAACTTTTAACACTCGCTCGCGAGCGTTTTAAAAATTTGACCGTTTTCGAGAAAAACGATCGCTGACGCCAGCGAGCTTTTTTTTAAGTTTACGCGCATGTTTTTCTTTTCTGAGGTTTTCTTTTCATTTTTTTTCATATATTTATATTTTGACCCTGAATTTGTAGAAAATGAATTTTTACACAATTTTTCTTTTTAATTTATTTTTAATACATGTTAGTTGTCATATATGAAATGATTAGGTTAGATTATTAACTATATTTTTGAATTGATGTTATGTTATTTATTCTAATTTATTATGTTTAGTTTATTAAGTATACAGATACTTTCTGTCAATTTCTTTTAAATATGTTTATAATACAAAATGAGTTGTTATATTCAATTAATTTTATTGTTATAAATATATTTTGTTTTAACTTTGGCTTTATAATCAGCTTACTGTTCAAATATACTATATTAGCTTTTTTTTTATCTTATTTATCACATATATGATGTATAAGTTAATGAGTTTATCGTAAAAATTAGGATCCATTTATAACAACTATGCTGTCTAACGTCAAATCACACTAATCAATACTTATCAAAATTGACTTTTTTTTACATAGTCTCAGGAACAATAACATGCCGAATTTTTTTATTATTCTATAATATTAATATAATTAGACTATTAATTATCGTGTATACCAGAGGTGTATTTAAAGGGCATATGGGTGATTGTCCCTCTTAACAAGCGCTATCAATATTTTTTTAGTCGATTTCTAAGAAATATAGCTCAAATGACCTTTCTTTGACCATCACTTTGATTTTTAACAAAAACATTTCTATAGCATGTTTACCAAAGTAAAAAAATTAAATACCTTTTTAAAATAATTTCAATGAAAACACCCCAAGTGAGTACCTCAGTAACAAACGTCAACGTTATACCTAATACATTTAAATATTTTTCTCTTTTTAAATTTTCCTGTATTTAATAATTAAATTTTTAATATATTTTTGTTACATTAATTCTGATGTAATATTTTTTCTGTAAAACACTTTTCATGCACGTCGTAGGCGTGTACTTAAACCGAGATCAGTAGCCCACTTATGAGGACAGCCCAAATAGTCTTACGAGTCTAAGGCGTGTGAGTTTCGTAGATCCTCAGGTCTGGAGCGGAGCCTCAGCTAGCCGAAGCCTAATAATAGAATAATTAAATTAAGTACAAATCAAATTTAAACAATTTTTGTCATAATAAAAATAATTTATTTTTTATCATTATACTGAAATTTAAGGTCTTTTAAATAAAATGTTAGGCTCAAATAAATTATAATTTTTCGAAAACTTATCAGTAATAAATATATATATATCAATAGTTCAGTGGCAAAATGTCCTAGATGTCCTATGATCATAAATGAAAAACTTTTCTGTAATACATTTTTGTTTATATAAAACAATATATAGTATAAAATTTTATAAACTTGATTTTATATAAACAAAAGACATGAAATTTATTACAATAATAGAAATGTTTACTAATATATAAGTTTAATGACAAATTAATTTTGTGTAATACTTTTTTTTTAACAAAATCATATGACAATACTAATTTTAAAATAAACCAATTATTGTTATTTTTTTATTAAAAGTATTACATTCTAAAATCTTTAATATTTTCGAAATTGTTTTTTAAATCTTTCATAATGAAAATCATCTGTAGCATTATCTCTTTTTTTCCTTTTATCAACATTATCGTTCGAGTTTACTTGAATATGTTTTTCTGATGATGGTATATTATTTTTTTTTCCTGTTTGTATAACATTGTCCAAATTAACTAAAATCAAAAAGTTAGTTTAATAGTAAAAATAACTAAAATAAATACATAACATATTGTCAGCTTAAAGCAAGAATTCTCTAAAAATTGCAACAAAATTATTCTATTAATATAATTTAAGTGGTATCAGAAAAAAAAGATCTTTTAGAATCTGATACTTAATGACCATTAATAAATTATAAATTTTGAAAATTTTCTTTAGGAACCCTGACGAAAATATACAAAAATGTAATTGATTTCATTATTAATTTTTACTCTAAGACAATTTTATCTCCCTAAGAAGTCCATTTTAGTATATTTAGGGGTCTAATTTTATTTCATAACAAATATTATCTCCATAGCTATATTAGTAATGCAGAATAATAATTTAATACATATTTTCTTAGTTATTTGAAATGAAGTTTCTGAACTACAATTAAAATCCAATGTCTTATTTTCTTTATTTTAGATTGGTTATTTTAGCATAAAATATAATTGTATACTAAATGTATTTTAAAAACATTATTGTGTGTACTAGTAGTACTATTTCTATTATTAAAATCTAGTTTCTTTTTTTTTTTTATTGATACTTAATAAATAGTAAAAATCATTTTTTTGGTTAATGAAAAAATTTACCAGTTCATTATATTTTTAAGAATTTTGATTTATAAGTTGATCTATATGATAAATCTAACTAATCTACCATATTTAAAATTAATAAAATTAATCTTTATATATATAATTTATCTAAATCATTTATACAAAGAAATGTTAATTAAAGGAGTTTGGTAGTTACATCTATTGTGTTGAATAAAATTTACTGCCATATTAGTAGGTACAAATTGTGATGGCCCATCATTTTTATTGTGACGATCTCTAATAAGTTTCATTTTAGCCTCTTCTGTAGCTTCAATATTTTTTATCTTAGCCCTAAAATTTCAATAACAGATTAAAATAAAAATAAAAGTAAATTTTTGAAAGGCAAATATTCTTACTCAATTCCAAGATCAACTTCAGGTATACCACTGAGCATTTGATTAGATAACATTTCTTCAGAACGATGGGTAGTTGAACTTCTTAAGTGTATTGGAACAGCTTGTAAAGCTGCTAATTCAGGAGGACAATAATTAGATTTATTTAAAGTATTAGTGTCATCATCATCTTTATTTTTAACTCTTCCAGTTCTCAATGCAACTTGTTCATCAATGTATTTCATCCTAAAAATACAAATTCAATTAAATATATTAATTTTATTAATAATTATTTTTTATATAGAATTAAGTACTGAGCCATATTTAAAATTTATTAATTCAGGAGCAACATTATTTTGACTTTGAAATTTTCTTTTTAAAAAACATTTGTTATATTAAAACAAGTGTGTAAAGAAATATTTAGCTTAGCAAAATGTCTCCCATCTGAGCTTTCTAAATATAACCAAAATATATATTATAAATAATTGATAAAAAAGCTAAATACATTTCTTCATCTTCATCTCTTTTATTGGTTTCTGCTGAAAATTGAGTTCCAATTCCAACATCATAGGCATCATCCACTTGAGTCACTTGTCCTGTTTTCAAAGCTGTCATATTAATTAAACCCCCAGTTTTTACTTTAAATGGATCAACCTAAAAGTACAGAAGAAATTTTTTTAAATAATTGATTCTAAATAATTTAAATGATTCAAAAATTAATATTTCAAATTTTTTATAAAATTTATTGATACAGTCAGAGATTTTAATGTCATTTTGACATTAAAATAATATATCTTTCTCTTAAAATAAACTCTTATTTATTTAGATTATTATCATTAATAAATACCATTAGTTTTTCTTCTTCTTGGGAAAGTTTTTCTCCTAATGCAAGGCTTACTATATTAATACCATTAGGACGATCTCTTAGTTTTTGTATAGTTTTCATTTCTTCAAGTTTGCTTCTATTTAAATAAAAAAAAATTATGTATAAAAAAGTTTAAGTTATATAAAATTTATTACATAAAAGAAATATAATAATATAGAGAACTACAAATATTTGATAATTACAATAACGTGTCTTCTTCACCTTCTTCTTCATCTGAAGATACTTTTTTTCTTAGTGATCGATCTTTGAATTTCTTTTTAAATATAGTAGATCTAAGAATGAAATAATGCAACATAAGATTTTTTATGTTTTATACTGTAATTATTAAAAATAAATAATATAATAATAAAAGTATTTTTTTAATAAATTGGATACATAATATAAGTTAATAAAAATAAATAATATTTTATTCAGTACATATTTATATAAAAATTGTTACTTAATGAAATAATTAAAGGAGTATTCTCTATAAACCAATTTGTATTTGAATATTTTTCATAAGAATTTTCAAAAAAAAAAAAATAGTACTAACAAATTCGAATTATCATTGACTTTTGAATCGCTATGTTGAATAACATTTTCCAGATTTTCGTTGAATGATTTATCACCCATTCCATAAATTATTTTTCTAACTAATTTTTAAAAATATTTACAAAAATTAATTTATTTTCAGTTTAAATCTTATAATAAGTGTACCAAAACTAATTTGACATTTTTAAATACGACTATCATCCTTCGTGAGCAAGTCTCATGTTATCAATATTTTTAGTTATGATAAATATTTACTGTGTATTTTAAACAATATTATATGATTTTATAATTAGAACCTTTAGATAATAACAGTTTAACAGTTGAAAGTTGGAATAAAATTTGGTTGTAATAACTCTCGTACTTAATTATTGCACTTTATAACATTTTATTTTTTATCATTAATGTTGTAACCTGTTGCCTTTTTATTGGTACTATTTGAATAGATCTATCAACTAATTTATAAAAACCTTCATTTTTATGACCATGGGATTTGACATCAATCGATTTGTTGGCGAAGTAGATGAAGAACTACTTTGTCCGATTTGTACTGGAGTGTTGCAAGACCCTGTTCAGGTAAAAAATTAGTTTTTAAATTTAGTATTTAACTATATCGAGTGGTAACTAGTTTATGTAAAATTAATTTAATTTATTAATTTATTAAAATTGCAAATTAAAAGATAATAATGCATATAAGTGTATGAAATATTAATATATTACATTTGTAGTATTCAGACATCAATATTTAATTTGAGTATAATTTAAGGTATAGTATCTATAATTTGTAAAAAGTTTACATTACCTAATGTGTGTATTTAATGAGCATTGTAAACATCATTCATTTACATTATGCTTTGGTAATTGGGCAACAAAGAATATAATACAGTAGTCGAGTTTATTGGATTTATAGTTTATTGACTCATTCGCATAATTGACTCAAACAGAACAGTTTCAATTTACATTTGATTTACATACAGAAAAATATTCATTTATTTGACTCATTACACAATTATTATCCATAAGATAAATTACAAATTAACTCTGTTCTACTAAAGTTTACCCACAATACCAGTATATTGTTATTATCATGTAGATAAATTAAATTATTTTTTCACAATAAACAAAACAGTCGTTGGCTGCTTGAAATAATCAAACATTTTACTGAAGACAAAAATCTATCCTGCATAGTTTCTTAACAGAAATTAATTTGGTATGATAAACAAATACATGTTAAAATTATCTAATGTTCTATCTACTTTATTTATTTATTACATTTTATTATACCATGATTATATATATTTATATTTATTTCATAATCAGTAATCTAAAATCTCAATAAATATTTTAAACTTGCATAAGTATTTAATTTTTTGAGGATCTACTTTAATTAGTATCTTAGAATTTTTTCTATACGTTTTACCTGATGATGACGTAAGTTCAACTAGTAGTTATTAAATAATTATTATATACTCAAGGCATAGCTGTTATTAATTTTTTTAATTTTTATTATTCATAATATATTATTATTAACTCATACTTCTATACTCTGTCTTACACCTACTTATTCTTAAATCCTTTTCTTCAAGAGCTGATCTCTATACCTCTAGTTTTTGATTAATTTTCTTCCTATTTCTCCTATTAACACTATATTTAGCATAAAACATGCACTACGGTACATCTCCTCGTATTTCTCTAGTAATTTCATCCATCAAGAAAATAAGTAAAGTCTTAAAGCAGAACTTTGTTGCACTCCTACTCTTACCATAAAACCTTCTGTTCTCCCATACTTTTTACTTTTCTCCCATAAGTGTTGCCATACATATCCTCTATTATATAATTGTATTTTTTCAGGACTCCTTTTCTTATTAATGCCTACTTTAAAATCTCTCTCGGTACTCTATCATATGCTTTTTCCAAATCTATAAATACCATACACAGCTCTTCTTTTCTCTATACTTTTGTATTAGTTGTCCCAAACAAAATAATGGCTTAATTGTTGACTTACCAGGCATTAATTCAAACTGGTTTTTAGTTACCGATGTCTCATTTCTTATTCTCTTATATATTGCCATTTCCCAAATCTTCATACTATGACTCATAAGCTTTATATCTCTATAATTTCCACACTTCTGTATGTCTCCTTTACCTTTAAATATCGACACTAGTATACTATTTCTCCACTCTTTTGGTATTTTCCCTTCTTATAAGATTTTATTAAAAAGATCCTTCAAACACCTTTTGCCAACACTTTAAAATTTTTCATACTTCTACTAGCACTTCATCTGGTCCATCTGCTTTATTATTTTTCATTGATGCCATAGTTTCCAATACCTTTTACTCACTAAATAAATGTACAGTCCCTTGTTCCACAAAATATCCTCTAATATCTCTTTTTGATACTCCTCATTCAGTAATTTTTCAAAATAATTTTTGCACCTTTTTTCACATCATCACTCAATAGCACCTCTTATCGACATTTCTTATACACCTTACCTAGTGATAGTCTTTAGACCTTTCTTCTCTTGCTTTTGCAAGTCTATAGACTTCTTTTTCATCTTCTTTTGTTCCTAGCCTATCACACAACTTATCATGTCTTTTAAACTTAGTCTTACTTATTGCACACTTGGCTTCTTTTCACTATTGTTTGTACTCCATCCATCTTCTCTCTTTTTGCCCCTCTACTATACTTTGAACTGCTTTTTCTTACTATTTATTCCTTTTTGAATGTCTTCACCTCACCACCAGGTTTTCTTGTTTCCTGGCATTCTACTCCTACTTTAACAATCTCTTTTACAGTATTCTTTACACAACTAGCAAATATATTCCACACCGTTCTTCCTTTTATTGTATTTAAAAACTCTTTTTCATTTTCCTCTTTTAATTTCCACCACTGGATCCTAGATATTCCTCTTGTATTCTTTTTGTTTTTGTATTTTTTTTTTCTACTATACCACAACTCCATTACCATCAGTCTATGTTGTGAAGTTACACTCTCGTCTGGGATAAATTTACAATATTTTACTCGCTTTATGCTCTCTCTCTTCCACATAAAATAATCAATCTGTGGTCTATTATTCCCACTCTTATAAGTTATATAATATAACTTATATAAGAGGGAAAACTCTTTTTAAATAAGTATTAACCACAAAAAGATTATACGATGTTGCAAATTCAGGATTCTTTTTCCAGCGTCATTTTCCCACCAAAACCATACTTTCCATATACTCTATCATATCCTCATACTTTTTGACAAAATTTTATGCTGTCTGTCAACCTGACACAATGTCATTAGTCATCTCTTATGACTGGTAGAGGGGCCATTGAAGTATTCTTATCCCCTATCCACAGGGACAGAAGACATCCCTCTTATAACATAAAGGGGTATTAATTTTACTTTTAAAATGTCAACATACATTTTAACTACCTTATAAAATAAATCACTTTTATATCCTTCTCTTTCTCGAATTTAAATTGTTACAAAGGTTTTTTCACGTGTTATAGTGTCATATATGATTCTTGACTAAGCCAATAATGGATGGTGCAGGTATTATGATTGGCTTGTACCTGAAAATAGACACCACTAACGAGAAAATCACAAGAAAAATCTTGTTGGCACCATAGGGTCAAACCAGGTACTGCAATCGCAAAAAATAAACATATGTTTCTACCCATTAGTTAAGGATGACTCCTAGCTTACAAAATATAAAACGACTGGTCAATAACAACTTTTGGATCAGCATTTCAGAAGTTATTAATAATTTAAAGTAATGACTAGCGGTAGCTGCTATTTTTATTTTTATTATTATGCTATTTTTAGTTATTTCCCGCCTGTACTCTTCACCCCACCTAAGTAAAATGAGATTAATTTTTTAAATTATATCATGATATATTTTATAAGCTAGTTAAATATGTATGTTGTCATTAAAAAAAATGAAGTTTATACCCCATTAAGTTACATGGGATAATTCTAAAAGGAATTATTAACTGATAAATCAAGAAATTTACGTAACTAAAAAAAAGTAAAATTTTTATTTTTAATATTGTATTTATTTTGAGAGTAATCGAGTGGTTTATGATAATCCGATCATACTAGGCCATTCCTATACATATTTTAAGAGTCCCGTGTCTTTAATGTAATAAAGTATCTCTTTGGGTTATATATTTTTGATATCTTTTTTTTTAAGAAAAGATTATTTCGATTAAAAAAAGAGCCTAAAACTGGTTATTTATTAATTATTAATAAATAATTTAAACATTCTTAGATTGAATGTTAATATTACTAAAATATTTACTATTCTTTTATGTTTTTATAGGCTCCAGCATGTGAGCATGCATTTTGTAAAGGGTGTATACTAGAATGGCTTCTTAGACAATCAACATGTCCAGTAGATAGACTATCAGTCAATGTTCTTCAATTAAGACCTGTGCCGAGGATATTAAAAAATTTATTAAATAGGTCAGTGACTAATCTTTATTAAATTTTATTATATTATATTATTATATATACCTTGCTATAATCTATAAATATTCGCTTTCTTTTTATGTATTTTTCAATGAATCTATAACTATAGATTGATTATTTTATCATTGACCTCTTAATTAATCACAAAATAAAAATAATATTAACAATTATTTTTTTATTGGTTTCTTTTAGTTACAAATTTTTCCCAGTTTATCAGTTATAAAGTATTTTTTATGTTCATCCCTTATAGTTTATAAGGTTGTCAACTTTAATATTTGAAATGGGAAAATGTATAATTAAGTAGCTTATAAAATAGATAATGAAGTAATTGAAAAAAAGTTTGATAACAACTTTTGGACCAGTATTTCAGAAGTTATAAACAATTTAAAGTAATGACTAGAGATGAAGAGTGGGTACTACTATTTATTACTAGAAATTCTTCAGCATTACTAACATCATACTGCACCTAGGTATAAAAATATTAATATCCTATATTTTATTTGTTTTAGACTTTACATTATTTGTGAAAACTCTAGTTATGGCTGTCAAAGTGTTGTTAAATTAGATACATTAGAGTCTCACTTATCAGAGTGTGAATTTAATCCAAAAAGACCATTTCCATGTGAACAAGGCTGTGGTATGATAATACCAAAAGATGAACATAAGGTATGTATTTGTGTTAAATTTAAAAACAGCTAACAAATTATGTTTTTTTATTGTATTTTTACAAAGCTGTTTTTTTTCATTGAAGATATTAAATTCAATTACATTTTCCAAAATTATAAAAATACAAGGTGATTTTTTTTATCAAATAACATTGAGTTACTAACAAAATACAAATAATTTAGAAATATTTTTTTTTGGTTACCTTAAGTTATATATTATTCTTGAATTATTAATTATGTAATATTGTTTATGTTCATCCCTTATGCCTTGCAAGAGCATCAACTTTGTTTTTACAAATGGGAACATTTATTTTGAGTTTCATGTTTTATTTTAATAGTAAATAACATTTAAATTTTTAACTTTATCCATTAATTAGATATAATTATTATAATTGACATTAAATGCTGTTTTTGTGAATAATGATGTCATAAAAAAACAATTAAATACCTATATTTGTAATTCCTTATGTATTATACATGTATATGAACTCAAAATTTTGAAACTATATAGATTTTTTACCAAATAATCGAATAAAGTTATATTAAAAATTCAAATCTTATTTACTATTAAAAAAAAACCTCATACATTTTATTTAACACAAAATATGTGTTCCAAATTTTTATCAAAGAATTGCTTTGATTATCCTAAAGTACCCATAGTTAAAAAATATCCTTTTTAAATGAAGGCTTTATAGCTTTTATAGGCTGCTAAAGTGTAAAAAAAATTGTCTGATAGAAAGAAATATTTTTCAAATTTAGAATAAAAAATTATTCTTGTAAAATTAATAAATATTTTTGTTGTTTTATTAATTACTTTAACATATTTAATTTACGTATAGCATACTTGATTAAAATTTTATAGTATATATTTCTGTGTTATACATGTTTATATAAAATTAAAAGCCAAAATATTAAAAAATTGATTAATATAAATAAAATGATTTTTTTATTTATTTATATTTAGGATCATAACTGTGTTAAAGAATTAAGAGAATTTGTACAGAAACAACAACAAAAAATAAATGATATGCAAAATGAAATGGCTAAATATATTTATGAAATGAGCAGCGTTAAAGATGAAATGCGGGTGTTGAAGGTAAAATATGATTAAATGTAAAAACATTTTTTTTATATATATATAAGAAAGTTTTAATATTCAATAAATTCTTTTTCTTTAAATTTTTTTTTCTATGCAATTTGACAATAAACTCTTTATTTAATTATTTTTCTCCTTTTCATTGGTAATCATTTTCGTAGTAATTCACAAAAAAAAGAAATCTTTTTATTTTTAGTTTATTTTAATAATTAAACTAAGTTTTAAAATAATTTTAATCCTGCAATATATTACATGTATAATATTTATATTTATTATATATATATATATATCATTTTCTTAAATGGAAAATTTCTTTTAAGTTTTTAAAAAATATTTAGATATATGATTGAATAAAATGAATGTTATTTTTAAGTTATCCTTATTTGATAAGAAAATTTTTGTTCACTGTTACTAACAATTTTTAGTAACAAAGTAATTGAAATTTTCATCATAAAAAAAGTTAACAATAATTAATATAATCTGAGTAAAATTATCAATGCAATTGCATTGAGTAGGAACGTGCATTTGGATTATGAACTGGGACAGCATAAGGTTCTGATACACTCCATTCATACCAGACTTTTGATGAGTCACTGAGTCGCCAGAAGTGTACTTGTAATTGTTCATTATTTTTTAAAACAACACTATTTTTAATAGGTATATAAGCTGGGTACCAACTAAACATTCCAGTGCTAAAAGTTGATGGTTCAATACTAATCTTAATATTCTTATATAAAATTGCTTCAAAGTATCCAGCAAACCCATGTAAAACACAATCTTGTTTAATATCAAATAATAATGAAATATATCTATCATTAGATATTGCTAAATCATTTCTAGGATGTTTGAAAGTAAAAACAGGTTTAGCAGGAGCTATAATATATACATTTCGCATATTTACTACATACAATTGTTCTGCATTATTATGTCTGTTATCTAATGAAGTCACATTCTTAAACATTTTCATATTACTAAATAAAGTTTGAGATTGAAGAGGACTTAGGTAAGATGTGTAAGATGAAGGTATACAAATTCCATTATCTTTTAAAAGGTGTTGAGCACCATCTAAACACTCTGGAGATAATTCATTATCACCAAATGAACCTAAAAGTTCCGATATTAAAATGTCAAATTTATCATCGAAATTCCATTTTCTCATATCAGCACCAATAATAGTTACCATATTATGCCAATAATTATCATTATTGTAGTTTAATACGTGCAACGCATTTTCATTTTTTTCAACAGCATATACCTTGACTTGTACTTTTGAATTTTCAGATGCTTTCAAACTAGCACTCACTAAGGGACCCCTTCCTGCTCCAACCACGCATATTTTAAGAATTTCGTCATTACTTGAACATTTGTCAAGTAATGCTTGAGTTATAGCTTTTTCATATTGTTGATACTTAATTGGATCTTGTTCAAATACAGCATACACATTGTTGTCCAAATCATTTATTAAAGGTTGTAAAGGAACTTGCAATAAATTTTCATAACCATATGAGTAGCTATATAGTCTTTCAGATGTATCATTTTCATGTATAAATGTCAGATAATCAAAATATGGACGCATATTTTGACTAGAATCTCCACTAATAAAAACACAAGCATCTAGATCAAATAATTTATTGATGAATTGTTGATGTGGGCGAGACAGTACAGGATATCCAGCATTATTTGTTAAAAATATAGAAGTATTTAGTATTACTGATTTTATAGGCTCACCCAACCAACGATCTAGTTCGTGTTCATCTGGCAAATCAGTACTTAGTTCTAATGATAAATATACAGACTTGTGATAATCACATGCAGCACTGAATGAAGACCATAACTTCCATGTATTAACTGAATTATTTGAGATTGGAACTCGTACAAATAAATTTATAAAATTATGATTATGTAGTGCAACATTTACTAAACGCGCTAAATTTGGTATACAAGTATTAAGAGGAAGATTAAACATAATTCCGGAAACATTTAAATATGATGCATATGATACTTCTTGTTTAAATATTTGAGCATTTTGTTCTCTCACAAATTTGTCTGTTGATTCTAGATCTATTTCATCTGATAATTTTATAACAATTCGATTCCATGTCTCTCCTTGTAAAATTATATCTGCTCTCGATACTAGTTGTGATCTATCTAAAACTGGATGATTACTTGCTTCAGGTTTCAATTTAGTATTAATTAGTGGAACACATGCAAATGTATAACCCCAATCAGTTAATTGTTGAATACATGCAATCAAATCTGGTGCTGAAGAAAAATCAAAACCTAGTTTAATTGATTTTTTAGATGACATAATGTGTTATTTTATTAAACTATTGTAAAGTTACGTTTTATTCTGTAGCTAACGAGTTTTCTACTGTTGTATTTTAAATTTACTTTATCTAATATTGTAATATTTCACTAACACGTTGTTATTATCACCAAACTATTATCAGCAGATAATGTGTGATAAAGTTATAATGGTGCTCAAGTGCTATCGCATGTTTTCATAATATTTTTCTGAGATGAACAGTTTCTAGTTGCAGTTCTATTTTAAAATGTATTAGTATATTTTTATTATAAGTAATACATATTAATCAAATATTATTTAAATATTTTCTAATATCAATGAAAATTAATCACGCTTCATAGTGAATTTATAATATATAATAGGGTGAATAAACAGGGTGACAGAACAAAGAAAATTTTTCTAGATTTTAATAAAAAAATATTTTTATGAGATACTGTAATCTGCAGAATAAAGCGTTTTAACTTCTCAGTTAAAAAAATTGAACCAAGTAGTCATTGGGATAATTGGCTGGAACTATAAGAACTATTTTTATTGATACATTTTTTTGATGAGAAAAGTTGAAAATGTCCCCTTAAAAAAAATATTCTAGTTATAATAATAGTTGAAAATATAACAATAAATAATAAAATATTTAAGTACATTAATGCATACAATTTAATGTAATATAATGTTTATATGTCATTTAAACAAAGAACTGATTCTTTAAGGTGTAAATTCTGTCAAATTGTCAAGGCAGAGCCAATCTCAAATAGTTGGGATATAGGGTATAGTGATAGTGATGATCTATAATATATCTATATACATTGATGATCTACTAATATGTATGTAATTACTAAATTTTTTTTAAATTGTTCTAGGGTTTTGGGTCATAATATATATTATTTACTTTTCTTTTCCCTAAATGTAAAATTTTTGACTGAAAATTTATTTTTATTAGGGATATGTACGTGCATTGCGTGTATGTAATCCAAGCGTTAGAGCAGTTGCGGATGAGCTTGAAAGAGATGAAATTGAACGTTGGTCAAATTCTTTACCACGAGCTAGAGTTACTCGATGGGGTGGTATGATTTCTACACCAGATGAATATCTTCAAGTAAATTATAAATTCAATTAGTTTGTTCAAAATTTAATTAAATTTTATTTTAAGAATACTATAAAACAAGCATTAATTGAAAGTGGATGTCCATCTCATATTTTAGAGGATCTTGTCAAAAATTGCCATGAACGCAATTGGCCTTCTGGTTTATCTTCTTTAGAAACTCGTCAACATAATAGAAGACATTATGATAACTACAATTGTAAGAGGATACCTGGAAAACAAGCTGTCATTGTATTACCTTGTGACAATACTATGGTCACAGATGATATGATGGCTGAACCAGGGCTTATAATGATTTTTGCTCATGGAATTGAATAGAATTTTCCATAATTTTATTATAACTTTCTTTTATTTAGATCTCAAATAATATTTTTTTCAGTCAATTTTCTAATAATTTATTTTGATAAAATTTTTAAACTAAATAAATTCTTAGTTACATTTGAATGATTTTTGAGATAACTTTCTTGTAAAATATTTTAAATTTTTATAATTCAATACAATTTAATTAATTAATCAAAGTTTTAAATGGACTTGATATTAATGTGTATAAATTAATATGTTCAAAGGTTAAAGTATGTTTTATTATGATAATTGTTTGTGTTGATAATAAAAGTAAATCTATGATACTATAGTATTTTAGAAGATATAATAATTTTTAATAGCAAATGGTTCTGTTATTTATTTTCTTAATTGTTATGAATTTAAGATCAATGATTTTTTTATTGTTTAAGCCTAAAAATTATTGTGTATTTGTAATTTGTAGCACTTTAATAACATTTTCAATTTCATTGTCAATAAATGAGAATTATAGTTTTAAAACAATGAATTTTACATCAATTTCTGAAAATATATCAATTATTGAATTTGAAGATTTTAATATTCCACATATGAATTCAAGTATCATACAAGTGCCTCACATTGATAACAAAATTCCATGTAAAAATGGGTATCAAAGAGATCAAAAAAATAGATGTCGTCGTGTTATTAATTAGCTATTTGTAAAAATGTTATTTTTAAAATCCCAATTATTATTAAGTAAATAAAATGTAACTTTTTTAAATTTTATTTGCTTGTTAAGTTAATAATATGTTTGATAGTATTTTAAATTGTGTTTTCAATTCTTTAAAGAAATATTGTAATATCAAATAAATACTAAAACGTTATATTTTAAAATTTGACTTCATATTCTTCATAATACATTATTAAATTACTAAACTGAAATGGGATCTATAGATAAATACTTAAAATGTATTTCAATAACTAAAAATCTAAGTGTTTGAGGTTTAAGCCCAGGTAAGTTAATTAAAATATAAATAATACAAAAAGTCTTTAAACTTTGAATTTTTCTAAAACAAAAACGCCTTAACTAATCTTAAAAGTTATTTAATGACATTTACTGTGTGCATGTAAATAATGAGTTTTTCAAAATGTAGTCTTTAATATTGCAGAATATATTTTAAAAAAAGTTGTTTTCTTAGCCAAAGAAAAGTAGTGCATAACTTTAATTAAGTAACTGAAGTAAGAATCAAAATGTTTGTTAGTCATTATTACAAAAAAAAAATAATAATAAATAACAAATGAAAACACTTGTGCAAAACTTGCTTAGATACAAATAGATAGTGCAAATTAGGGCAATTGCCACCTTGACTTTTTGCTTGGTTATATTTCATAATCATGTATAAATTTTTTTTTTTTTAGGTACAATTAAAAAAATGAACTTTATAAAATAAAATTATAAATGTTATGTGTTGGTTTTTATTTATTGAATTTATAGAAACTTAAGACTCTATTTACAGTTAATTCTTATGTTTAGCTGTACTCAAACTAATTAAATAACATGCTTAAAAATAGTTTTAAGCAAAACTTATTCATAAGAATCAACTATAAATATGACCTTAATTTTATAAATAATACATAAAACTACTAAATAATTTTTTATTTTTTGCGACGTCTATAGGCGTCTACTAGAAGAACATTTTTGAGGAAGCTTATTGTATTTTATTCCTTATTTAAAAACACTATATAAGAATATATGACTTTATACATACATAATTCTTTAATTTTATTAATGAGCTAATTCATTAATAAATTCATTAACGAATTCCTTCTTGCCCACCTTGTTGGGTCTATAACAGGCCTTCAGAAAAGTAAAATCAAATATCACAAAAAAAAACTTTACCTCCGCTTTAAAATTTCTGCGGCTCTTGAAAACTACCTATTTAAAAATATAGTTGTTACAAATTGTTAGTATTCTTTTTGGATCAAAATGGACGTATTTGGTTAATGAACCAGTGTTTCCAGAAGAGAAACGAGGGGGGTCAGAGGGCATGCCTCCTATTGGCAGCAATACTCATTTAACACGCTTTTATTAGTTTCACCTGTATGTTTGTTTGTAACACTCCATGCGCCATGTGTAATTATCCCGTCGTCTATGGCCTTGAAACTAGACTGTCGTAACGCATGTCCCGACATAGTCATTTCATTTCACAAAATGAAATTCTAGCTACGTCAATGAGTGCTTTCAATTGCTGTAATAAGATCAGCAGATTTTGTTATCATCGAATATTAAAAATCATCATACTCTGATAGCTGTTATCATAATCTATGATACTTGAAATTTCCAGTTATCAAAATTAATATATGTGTATATTTAGCATTATTTCAAGCTGTTCAGACATATTTCAAAAAAATAAAAAAAAAAAGTAATTTTGAGTAATTGTAAAACAATTTTTTAGAACTTACTCAATTCAAACATTTAGCTATGGCCAAATTTGAATTTTTTACTGTGTTATTATTTATTTTACTTATTTCAATTAGTGTAGTTAGAGGAAGGATACATACATTAGAAATAAAGGTTTTTATTTTACTAATTAATATTTTAATTAGTAATTAATTTTAATATTACTAATATTAGATATCAGCATAAATAAATGAAATTTTATTTTTGGATATACTTAAAAATTGTTATTTTATTTTTAAAATATATTTTATGCAAGTTTTAAAGTTGTTTTAGCTTTAAAATTTTAGATATATTAATTGTTAAATAAATTTTTCATTTTTTAGGCTGATGATCGTCGTTATATAGCATTAACAACATTTGGATTTTACAAAGGTGGTTTGTTGAATGTAGCCATCAGAAATTTCTATATGCCAAAATCAAATATTGATGATGTGGTTTGTACTTTAAAATAAATATTTATTTAATATTTATCTAAATGTAGACAGTATAAAATGATTATATTCCTAAAGTTATTAAAAAAATATTGTGAACAATCTTTGAATAAATATTTAGATTCATAAATGAAAAATGCTTTTATTCTAATTCATTTTATCATATTTTATTATTGTATAATCTAGTGTTATACTATTTTTAATAATTAAGCAAAAGTTGATAAAAAATGCAATTTTTTCTGGTTTTATGGAATGCAGACTGTTAATTTTTTTTCTAATTTAAATTAATCTCATTTCTGTATCAAAATCTATATTTATTGCACTTTTTATTTTTATTTATTTTATTGTATTTGAATTTGATGTATGTGTAGCATGGTTTAGTTCTTGAAAGAACTATTTCAGATGAAGGAAATCGATATATAGAACTACAACAAGAGTTTTGTCCTATTGAATCAAACAACTTATTTGAGACACGACCAAATTCAGATATAGCAGTATTTCAATTTAACTTTAAAACTAAGATGTAAGTATAATTTGACATGTATATGTTATAGTTAATATAGTACTGATTGGTGTAAAATGGGCAAAGTGTTTCTTATTATATTTTTAGATATTATGGTATACTTAATATCAATAGTTATAAAATACTAAAATAAGAGAGCATAGTATAATAATGCCTGTAATTCTAAATTTACTGTGACATATATACTAACTTTTTAAAACTTAGAAACTGATAAAAATATATGTCAGAAAACTGAAAATTAAACCCAAAAATTTTTCACCAAGCTACCCAGCAACTATAATTAATCTACTAGTCCTGAGTCTCTTAAGTGGTTGATATTAACTTTTTATTTTATATATTTTTCATTAGAAATAAGGCTTTAACTACTTATTATAAAGGCTTTTTATTAGCCTATATCAAAATGTACAGATTGTTTTATACTATTAATTAACAATTTATTTACTTTGCTTAAAATGTATTATGAACTTCTAGAATTGATAATTTTAAATATTATAGATATATTTGTATATTTTGAGTAGTAAATCATAATATGTGAATCTGACATGTATTACAAATTAGGTTATGATCTTTAATTTGTCCCGACACCTTATCGTCTATGAGTAAATTGTCACCGAAATTATACAACAAATGTAATATTTGCAAAAAAAATCAGCTCCTATCATGGTGTTTTTTGTATTTAACCTTCATAAGACCCTGTGGGGTACAAAACTACTCCAGCTCTGATTTTTTCTTAACCTTCATAAGACCGGGCTCTATTTGTGACGTTAAAGACTGGCCGGGGTACAAAGTTACCCCAGCAGTTTTTTATGATGTTTCAAAGTTGGACGTGCTTAGATTCACATATTGATTAAAAGTAATGCAATTTAAACAACTAAAACACCGGACTTATGAAGGTCAAAACTACCATAACTTTTTAAAATATTAACAAAAACAAAATAATATTTTTTTTATATTGAAACCTTAGGTAATTTCCTTTCATTTGATATCATTTTTTTTGAAAATCTAACACTTATTCTACTCACAGGGGGGAATTAAAATAGTAACTTTTTTACAAAAACTAACTTTTTCAACTTAACTTTTGAAAATGTTCCGAAAATATTTACAATTTTATATAATCTTAAATTAAAATTTATATACTTTATATATACTTATATATACTTTACTATGAAAAAAAAGAATTTGAAATATACATTTCCTTTTTGTTGAAAATGGCTACCGTATTCAAAAATATGCTATTTTTGTGTTAAAATTCTGGGTTTTGTATTTTATTTTATTTTAAAATATCTTACACTGACTTTACACTGATTTTTACAATTATAATTAAATTTTATAATACACTCAATTGAATAAATCTTTTTAACAACTTTTAGCTTCGATGCGAATCTGAGAAGGTATTGGTTTTACTATGATGTGTTTTTTTTTTGTGCCTGTGAACTTTTTCTCATCTCTCACCGAATCGATATCTTTCAATGATACGTCAAAAGATCACAAATTGTATCTAGTCGAAGACATTACTCTCAAAAATTAAAAAAATTTCCCTTGTTTCCCGTAAATGGGGAAAACATCCAAAAAATTACTAATTTAAAAATTGCTAATTTTTTCAATTTTTTTTTCTTAATACTGTCATAAACTTTTCAAAAATGACTAAATTAATATAATTTTTTTTTTATAAATGCTTGATGTCCTTACCTATCATTTGGTATATTCTTTTTATAAATCTGACTTTTTACCTGCCTACAGGGGGGGATTCAAAATGATAACTTTTTCACAAAAAATTTGCTTTTTCAACTTAAATTTTGAAAGTGTTTCGGAGAGTCTGACACTTTTATATATATCTTAAATTAAAGCTAATGTAATGTACTTTATTAAGAAAAAAAAATTTCAGACTTTATTTTGTTTTAATGGTGAAAACAGTCATCAAAGTTAATTAAAAAGAAATACGATTTTTGTAAAAAAATTCTTTTTCATATATTTAATTTTATTATGCTATAACTTTTTGAAAAATGTATGGATCAATACAATTTTTTTATGAGAAATAATATTTATATCTCTCTTTTATTCGACATACTTTTTTTTAAATAACACCATTTCCCTTTATATATTTATATATTATAAATATATATAAATATTTATATTCATATATTACACTTATAAATCATAAAAATTGTAATCAGAATATAAATAAGGAAATAGGAGATCATGTAGTCTTTGGAATAAACCACCAATTTTTTAAAATTAAACACTATCTAACGATTTGCATCGAAACGTTTTTTATGATTTTAATCACTGTCAGGTATCATTATACTTGACCCAATTATGCCACATCCCCACTGTGACGCGACCTCACTGTGTTGGGTTTTTTTATTTAAAATTTTTAAGATTACATGTTTTTTAATAAAATTTTGTTATTAAGAAATTAAAAATATTTATTTAAAACATTTTATTTTAATTTAGTGTTACTATAAAATGTTCATTATCAATGAAGCCATTTTATTTGTTTAATGATATGGAAGAATTTAAAAAAGAACAAGAATCTGGATTTGAAAGTAATAATAACTTATGTGTGTAAAATTCAAGACATTATGTAATAATAATTTTGCAATTTTATGCATTTAATTAGACTCAGTTAAATATTGCAACAAATCATTAAATATCTACTCAAGTAATGAAGTAGTAGACTCATATAATATAAGTGTAAGTGAAGTAACATAAAAAATATATTATTGTCTAGATTGTCCATTAAAATGATGCAGCTTGTTTATATGCTGCGCCTTATATATATATTGACTAAAAATTTTTTTTTGTTAAAGTTTTAATTTTTTTTTATTTCTATAAAATCATCAAAGGTAAATTTTTGTAAAACTAATGAATTTGAAAATATATTAATTTCTATAGTTTGTTGTATATATAAAGTTAAAATCAAATGAAGGATTGTATAATCTATATTATCATAACTGTCCAAATTATGCTATGGTTCCTAAGTCAAAGCAAAGTTTTACGGTAAGTATAAGTTTTGAAATGACTTAACTTATAGTACACTTTTTATTTATAATATTATCTATATTTTTAATAATATTCATTATTAAAGGTCGATATCAATGAAAGTAATAATGGTAATTATTTGTCTGCTGGTGATATACCATTACCATCTTTGTATTTTTCTACATCCATTATTTTCTTTGTAACTGGAATTATTTGGGTTTATTCACTTTATAAGAGCAAGTCAGTATATTGTTAAAATTTAACAAAATTTGTATTGAACTTGTATTAATTCTTTTTTTTTTTTTAGTTATCCTGTGTATAAAATTCATTATTTAATGGCTTTGCTAATTTTCTTAAAAGCAGCCACTTTATTTTTTCATGGTTTAAATTTTCATTTTATTCAGATTAAAGGCCAACATATTGCAACATGGGCTGTAGTATTTTATACTATTCATTTGTAATAATTATATTCATAAAAAAAAATATAAATATATAAATAAATACTAAAGAAAACTTTTAATATTATGTAGATTAAAGGGATCAGTTTTATTTATAACTATAGTACTCATTGGTACAGGATGGACATTTATAAAACATGTATTATCAGATAAAGATAAAAATATATTTATGATTGTGATACCATTACAAGTAAGAAATAACTTTTAAAAATAAAATGCCTTTATTTAATATAGAAAAATTAATTTCATAGGTGCTTGCAAATATAGCTGGAGTTATTATTCAAGAATCAGAAGAAGGTGATGTTCAACATAATGCATGGTTGGATTTATTTTTACTAGTTGATTTTATGTGTTGTGCAGCTATATTATTTCCTATACTTTGGTATTTATTGTTTTAAACTAAATAAATTATATAAAACAAAATTAATGTATGATTAATGTAATTACTGATTTGTGTAATAATTTTATTACTGTCATTTAAAATTTTTGATTAATATTTATTTCTATAAGGTAAATTTTTTTATAAATTCAAATTAACTTAGTGAGATTCAAAAAAATTAATTATAAGGAATAAGTAACCAATACTTCAAGTGTAATAACATTTGTAGTTTTGAGGTAGTGGATATCTATCCAATGGTGTGAGATTTTAATTTTTTTCAGAAAAAAATTTCTTAATCTTTTTTTTTTAGATAAGACAAAGGTCTTATAATTTGAGAGTAATGCCATACAAAAGAGATTTATTATTTAGGGCTTATTTTTGAGTTAAATGTCAAAAATGTTGTACTAGATAGTTTAGTTTTTTTTTTTTTAATGACTATTTTTATATGCATAGGTTAGCTTTATTTTAACAATTTAATATTTTACTCAGTTCATTTTTATGATTATTAAAATAAATTAAGAAGTTAATATAAGAAAATAAACAAAATCGTTTTTTTTTTAACTATCATTGTTCATATTACATATAGAATGTTCAGTAAATAAGAAACAGGTTTCTATTATTCTCATTATAATTATAACATTGTTATCATTGTAACGATTGACCTGTTTTCTTACTTTTTTAAACACTGTATATGTTTTTTTAAGAATTAAGTTTCTTACACATTTATATATTTAACTATAAAATTTATTTTATCATAGGTCTATCCGACATTTACAAGATGCATCACAAACAGATGGAAAAGCAGCAGTAAACTTACGAAAGTTAAAATTGTTCCAACAATTTTATGTTATGCTTGTTTCTTATATATATTTTACTCGATTTTTAATTTATATGTTAAGAGTAAGTAATTTGTATGAAATGATAAGATATTTTCTAGATAATTTTTTTATTTCACAGATGACTGTGCCTTTTAATTTGTTGTGGCTAAATGAATTTTTCAAAGAAGCAGCAACATATGTGTTTTTTGTAATGACTGGCTATAAATTTCGACCAACTCTTGCAAACCCATACTTTCAAGTGTTATCTGATGTTGATGATGATGATACAGATATTGTGTAAATTAAAATTAAATAGTTATAGTATTGGGCTATTATTAAAAATATTATCTTTTTTTTAGAGTTAATAATTCTAAAATTCATTAATTAAAAATTTTAAAATTTTATAATTATTATAGAAAGATATTTTTAGCTATAGTTTTCAATGATATTGAATATTAAATTACAGTATCTTTTTTTAATATATAAATTAAATAAATTTTTGGGATTCTCAAAAGATACTCTTTGAAATATTGATATTGATTTAAAATTATTGATATTGTCTAGATATGAAATTAATTTTTTTTTTAATGGTTCAAGATTTTTGCTTTTAAATAAGGATACAAATAGTATAATACACGTGTAGCATTCCTCTAATTTGTTATTTATAATTAAAAACAAAACTATATATATTTTATAATTTTTTTTTTACATTTTATTAGGATTAGCCATTTTGGATCAGGAGTAAGTAATCGGTCTAAGAAAAAAACTGGAAGAGGAGACATACCTGAAGATGAAATGATGCTAGTTGAAACATCATAATAATAAAAAAAGTTATCTGTGATTCCAAGACTGATCCTACTGATCTACCCTTTTGATTGTTGGTTTCCATTTGCACAAATTTAAATATTTTATCTAACCTATTAGTTTGACATAAATAAATTTATATTTTATATTGATTTTTATAATTAGGATACGTAATTAACTTATTTTATTCAGAGTTAGTTTGCGAGTTGTTCCTTTGTTGTACTGTAATTGTAAATACTATACATATATGTATATTTATTTAATATAGATTTGTTTATTAAAAATCTATTCATGTTAATGTAGAAAAATAGTATTTTTTTTTTTTTATGACTTATTTCATCCAAATTTTAGTTAAATATATTTGTTCATCTTTTAAAAAATTGCAATTGATATAATTTAAGAAAGTAAATAAGAAAGATAATAATATCATATTATGATTGGTGACTTAAAAGATTATATATTGGCTATTATAGATTTATAATACAGAAGAAATTATGAATTTATTTCTGCAGTTAGTGATACTGATATCTCATATAAGTTATATTGTATAAGAAAACTTAGTATTTATTTATTTTAACTCTTAAAAATGTATTACTTTTTAATTAGATATTAAAATTGTCTTTATTCCTAAAAAAACCTCTTGTTCCTTGATAGAGATGGTTGTCAATAGTTATTTGGTCAGTCACTAAATAAAATGATTGATTAATTAATCACATTTTTTTTTTTATAACCGTTAGGTTGGTTAATACCATTGGTATATCCTGGGGAAATTCAAGTGCAGTGGTTTCTCGTTGCCTTCTGCACTGGGAACATGGTCATTTTTCTGTAGAAGCGCACACATGGTCACCCATCTGTTGACCTACTGTGGTAGGCGCGTCTTAACACTAGAGTTTTGTTAACAACTAGTGTAACCACCGCGCCACACCACGCCCAATTGATCACATATTAACTTTAAAAAAATGACTTAAAATAAAAACTCAAATAAAATTTTAGAAATACTAGCTTAATTGTGAAAATATTTGCAAGAATTACTTGCAATATAAAAACATTTTTAGTTAATATTTATTTGTATTATGATTTTTATTAATTTTTCTAATCATAGTAATTACAGATAACATTCTATTTCTTTGTACATAACATAGCAAAACAGTTTTAAAAATAATAAATTTTAAATGATAAATTGGTTGTTTAATGTCATAAATATAAATATTATTAATTATAAATTAATTCTATATAAAATTTCAATTAAACTTCTGGAGATGACCAAAGAGCTATAATTATAATTATTTTATTGTTTGTATGATTGAAAAAATGTTTTTAAGATTCTTAAGAACAACAAAATTTAAAATATGACAGTCTTTAGTAAAAAATTATGTAAAAATAAATAGTATAGATAACACTACAATATAAATACACTTTCCAATTTACATTTTAAGACAGAATAGTATAATGATTTCAAAGTTTGCTTTAAAAGCATAGGAAAAGTTTAAACTTAAAGTAGCATTTGAAAACATTAACACAATATAACTATACAGTCTTTAATTACAAAATTTACATTTATGTTCTATACAATTTTATTCTAAAATAAGTTAGTATGATGATTTCATTTAAAATAGTTATAAAAATCTAAATTATTTTATAAAAACACAATAATAATAATTGCACTTTATAGTTAACTAAGCAAATTTGATTTTTAAACATGGCAATTATTTCATAAGCTATTAACATTATCATTTCTATAACAAGGACTTGGTAAGTGAATTACCTATATGTAGATAATGTTGTCTATTAATTATTCAGTACATAATAATGATATGGAAAAATATAATATTTTTTTTTAAGTATACAGATATCACAATTTCTTTTTCACTCTGACAATAAATAAATACATTACACCTGTATTAAATGTATTAATAAAGTCTTTGAGTTATTTTAATAAAAATTATACTAAATAATTAAACTATATATTACATGGTAAATCGGGATGGAAATAATTGATAAAGATCACTTATTCTACAAATTAACTTGTTAAAATTTGTCTTTCAACGAAAATTGTCATAATTAGATTTAAGATGAAATATTTCATATCCTTAATTCGGTTTCATTTGTTTGATGTCTTTGACGAGGGTTGGGATGAGGTACCACTGAGTGTAAAGGTGACATGGACGGTGACTGATTAGCTAATGGTGATAAAGATGGTGAAAATGAAGGTGACATTGCGACTGATTGACTATACCCAGGATTAGTTTCATGACTTATAGGTGATCGAGGTACTAATAAAATGGGCGTTTGATGATGGTGATGAGAAGAAGTTGACTGTCTAGATGATAGTACTCTTGGAGCCATGTTGGTAAGAAGGGGTGGTGGTGGTGGAGGTGGAGTATTAATATTCTTAGCTATCTGATTAGGAATATTTTTTTTACTCTTGCTATTTGATGCTACACTGCTTGAACTTTTCACAGAATTGGTATCCTCTTTTAACCTAGCTATTTCATTAAATACATGAGCTAGAGGTTGATACTGTGGACCCCAATCCAATAGATAGTCCCAATTATAACTGCCAGTCAGCTCTTCTTCACTATGAACAATTGAGCTTAATGAACCTACCATTGATGGCTGTGGTGCTGGTACTTTACTAGTTGAGTAAACAGCTGATTTGCTGTCTTCCTCTCCACCACCACCTCGTTCACTACCCACATCACTCAGTTTAGCATATATCATATTAGTAATATCACCATTTGTTGTCTCATCTTCATCGTACATTTCAATGTTTTCCATTGGTTGGCGCCTAGATGACAAACGATTTTCTTTTGGCAAGTGTGGTGGTATCACTTGAGTATCTACAATTCCTAAACGGGCCAAATACTCTTGAGTATTGCGTGCAGTAACTTCAGATAAATTGTCACTGTTTTGCCTCTCATTAATCATGCGTATTTCTTCATCTTCAACATCATCCTCAGCAGATCCTCGACCACTGGATCCAGATTTTTCAGACTCAGACAAATCAGATGTAGTAGCTGCTCCTGAATTAGTACTACTATTGTTACGGTAAGTAGGTATTTCATCATATTTAGGAGGAGCAAACTGATTTACTTGAGTACTGTTTACACCCCGTATAGGTATTGTGTCAAATGCACTCGGATCCACATAAGTATTATTAGTTCTCTGGTGGCCATTAAATTCTGGTTTATTTATGCTTCTGTGTTGTTTGTTCTTTAAATGCATGTAAAACATTATTCCACCAAAAAGAAGTAATACTAAAAGAGTAATGGTTAAAATACCAATTATCCAGTCCACAATACTAGATGATAAACTGTTTTGGCTATCAGAGCTACTAGCTAAATTTAAACCTGGTTGAGTAAGTGGATCGAAGGATATTTCAACAACACTTATATTGGTCAAAGAACCTTGTTTACCGGAACTAGCTGTTACTACAAGACTTACATCTTGTGTTGCATCAAAATTACTGTCAATTTTCTTTTTCACCACTATGGCACCATTAGTACGGTTTACTTTAAAATAAGGATTTTGTGTTGTCAAATGATAAATAACTCGACCTTCAGGACCTTTATCTCTGTCAGTGGCTGATATATGACCAATAATATATTCAATTGGTAAATTGAAGCTGTTAATCATAAACTTAAAAGTTCTCTCAATAAATTGAGGTGCAAATTCATCTTTTCCTTCAATTTCTATTTTAACTTTAACTTTAGTTGTTTTGCCTCCTGTATCACTTGCAATAATAGTAAAAGTATATCTACTTTTAGACTCATAGTCAAATATAGCGTTAGTAGTCACTAAACCAGAAAATGAATCAATTTTAAACATCTTCCACGAGTCTTCAGCACCAGAATATGTTGCTAAAGATGCAATGGAGTAATTAAGATGGCCAAAATTACCACGATCTGCATCTGTAGCTTTGGCTGTAAATACTAAGGCGCCTATCGGCTCATTTTCACCGACAAATTCTAAGTACTCAGACACTGGAAATTTAGGGACATTGTCATTGATATCTTCAAGTTTAACTTTAAGAACTGTAAGAGAAAATAAAGGATAGTCAGTTTGAGATTTACCTCCATCTTGAGCTTTAATAACAAGATTATATTCAGTCATATCTAAATCATAGTCCAAAATAGATTTAATAGAAATTTCACCAGTATTTCTATCAATGCTGAAAAATTCTCTACTATTTCCAGAGGTTATTTCAAAATGTACTTCAGAATATGGTGGTGTATCTAAATCTTTAGTAGTCAAATGAAAAAAAGAATGACCAATTGGCAAGTTTTCAGCTAATGACACAGTTTGTTGAGAGCTGATGAATTGAGGAGCATTGTCATTTGAATCATCTACTAACACATGAACATAAACATAAGTACTATTTAAGGTGTCAGTAATTCTAAGTGAATAAATATCTTGAGTTTCACGATCTAATGGTTTTTTTACAATAAGCTCTCCAGTCGGGCTTATCAAGTCAAAGTTACCGTCTTCATCACCATCAACAATATTAAATTGAAATGAGTAATCTACCGAATGACTATTCAATAGTTTCAAGAAAGGTTGCCCCAATTGTATATTTTCTCGAACAGATATCCTATAAAGTAAATATTACTATATTAAATTTATTATTTAGAGGTTGGAAGTAATATACTACTAATACATTTTTAAGGTAAATACACATTTTTCCTTAAATTAATGAAAAAAGTATTGCAATACTATAAAATGAGTATACATAATAGTGTTCCTAGATGTTTATTGTGGTGAACAACAAGTATTGTACAATGAAAGTAGCAATTTTTAATCACTGTTAAAAGTATATATTAAATTTAAAAAATTTAAAGATTTGTGATTAAACTACCAAACAACTAATTAAAATATTTAACTCACCTATATTCATTTTGAACAAATTTTATAAAGTTTGAATTTATTTCATTATTGATTTTAATAAGAACTGCGACAATAGTTGATTTTTGTGGTGTTCCTTGATCAGTAGCAGTAACTAGTAAATTGGTATAACCCTATAACAAAAAAATCCACGCATAAAGAACATAAAATCAAAAAATCATTGAATCGATTAAAAAATAAATATTTACCATTTTTGTTAAGCTTTGGTCAAACATCAAACGATCAGAAGTGATTATTCCTGTTTCTTGATCGATTCTAAATCCGTTTAAATCATTAACAAAAGCATACCTTACTTGGCTATTTAACCCAGAATCTAAATCAGTTGCATGAACTTGCATTGAAGATTCTCCATGAGTATTTTCTGTACATTATATTTTAATTAAAGATCTAACTTAATGACTTAACCATTATTACAATTTAATAAAATAAAATATTATAAATACCCATTAATGTAAAAGTATAGTGTGATCTATCAAAAACAGGAGTATTGTCATTGTCATCTATCACTTCAATAGTTAATTCAGTTTGGGCAGTATGAACTGAATCAGACACAACTATCCCTAAATGATAGGTTTGTGTTTTTTCATAATCTAAATTTGATATTAATAGGATTCTTCCATTATATCTATCTAATGCAAACATTTTTCTATCAGCCACATTTACAGTGTTTGCCCATGAATAAATTAATGTTGGATGGCTATCTACATCATTAGCTATCACTGTTGTTACTGTACTTCCAACTTCTAAATCTAAAAAAGAAAAGTGATGTACAATAACACATAAAATAGTTGCATAGAAGTTATAAAACTCTTAAGTATTGAAAAATATTATAAGTAATTTATTCTTACTTTCTTTAATGCTGATAGTGCTTTGAGGGGGGAATGAAGGGCGATTATCATTGATATCAATAACTGTTACATGAATTGTTGCTATACCAGTCATTTGAACTGTACCTTCATCTGTGGCTATTACTGTTAATTTATAGAAATTTCTTATTTCACTGTCCAATACAATGTTTGTTTTGACAATACCAGAATCAGTAGGGTCTATAACAAATGCATTGTCATGATTGCCATCTACTAAATGATAAGATAGCTTTGAGTTTTGTGATTCATCTAAATCAATTGCTGAAACTTTAATAACGAATGTTCCCTTGGAATTTCCTTCCGATACTGAAGCTATATACTCTTTTTGTGTAAAAATTGGACTATTGTCATTTATATCTGACAAATGAATCCAAATATCTGTATAGCCCCACATAAACATAGATGCTGGGGAATCAGTTAGTGCGATGGCAACTAAATGTATACCAGACTTACAACTTTCATAGTCCAATAATTCTGATTTTCCAACTCTAATGATGCCAGTTTCTTCATCAATTAAAAATATATTATTTTCGTTGTTAACAGGAGCTAATTTATAAATAACTTTTTGTTTACGTCCATCACTGCGGTAAGCTGATATCTGTAATACATTAAAAATATTAAATTAAATATTCATATTTTTAATTTTATAAGTGTAATTATAAACTTACTTCAAGAATTTTCTTATCAGTATCCATATTTTCAGGTATAGTTACATGGTAAGTAGAATTTTTAAACCTCATTACTGGAATTCTATCAAATTGTTCACCAATTTTTATTTCTACAAGACCAATAGAACTTTTAGGAGGATTCCCTTTATCGGTAGCTACAACTTCTAAGTGGAAAACATTTCCATTCTCTAAAGCAAGACTTGACGATGCTGTCACAACACCAGTATTAGGATTCATACGAAATTTGTTATAGCCTTCATTGTCTTTAAAAGAGTAAATTATGTCAGCATTAGAACCTTCATCTTTATCAGTCGCTGTAACCCGTAAAATATCCATTCCTGGCTGAAAGTGAGATGGTACTTCTGATGTAAATGGATACTTAGAAAATATTGGTAAGTTATCATTAACATCTAAAACTTTGACATAAATAAGTGCTGAGGAAGACCTTATGTTATATTTTCCACCATCTTTAGCAACTACTTGTAACCAATAATTAGACTGCTTTTCTCGATCCAAATGTCTACACAAATAAAACATGAATTAAAATATATAATTGTTTATAATTACCATATATGACGTAATTAAAAAAAGGGCTTTTTTTTATATGTAAAAGTTTCAACAAAAAATAAGAAATTCATACTTGTTAAAATGAATTTGAAAACTAAATAAAAACCCTTTAGTTTCCTAGTTACATCTATATTTCCTATGAGATTATTCGCTTACCCCACTGTATAAATAACACCAGTTCTGTTATCAATTTGAAAAATATATTCTGTTTGGTTTGAAAGTGAATACATAATTTTAGCATTTATACCCATATCAACATCGTATGCTTTGACAGACAAAATTTTGGTACCAACAGGAGAATCTTCTAATACAACTGATTCATATTTGTTTTGTTCAAAACTAGGATTATTGTCATTTTCATCTTCAACAAGTATAGTAATATTACAATACCCCATAGATGTACTTCCATGATTTTGAGCAGTAATAGTAAGTTGGTACTTTGATTGAACTTCTCTATCAAGTGTTTTTGCTGTTAACTCGCCAGTTTTTGAATCTAAATGAAATTTATTTGCTCCATTTCCACCAGTTATGCTATAAATTATTTGACTATTGGTTCCCATGTCTGGATCAACAGCGGCCACTGTGTGAATAATTGCTGGTTCATGATTTTCAGGTACCATCAATGAAAGACACGATTCATGTTTAAACTTTGGAATATGATCATTAACATCTAAAACTCCTACTTCCAGTGTTACTACATCAGTTACCATTTTTACTTTATCAGTTGCATAAATAGGAAAAGTATAATGAGATTTTTGCTCTCGATCTAAATGATTCTTAAGAGTTACTATGCCAAGGTCTTCATCTATTTGGAAACAGTTTTCAGCTATGCCTTCAGGTATGCTGTATAGTATTTCTAAAATAAAATTATAAAATTTCATAATAAAAACAAATTATTTATTATTAATTAAAGAACAATTAGAAAAAGAAATTATACACGCACAGGGTGATAAATTTACCATAAACCACTCAAATACTCACAAAATAAGTACAAAATCGGGAAAACATTTTTTGTTTCATATATTTCTTGATTTATTAGCTATACATTACTTTTTAGAATTACCCCTTATAACTTAATAGAGTATTAACTTAATTATTTAAAATTTCAACATACATATTTAACTAGCTTATAAAATAGATAATGATGTAATTGAAAAAAAGTTCGATAACAACTTTTGAACCAGTAATTCAAAAGTTATTAACAATTTAAAATAATGATAGGAGGTGATAAATGGGCGCTGCCATTTTGATTATTAGTCATTTTCTGATCATACTTAATTTTAATTTAAAGGATAATTTTAAAAACTAATTATTAGCTGATAAATTAAGAAACATACGTAACTAAAAAAAAGCAAAATTTATAAATTCAAGCGATTGACTATTTATTTATACAATAGTCAACATAATTGTATTTATTTTTAGAGTAATCGAGTGGTTTATGATAAACCGATTATCCTATATATATATATCAATACTTACTGTTGTTGGTAGAACTAGCAGATACTTTGGCCACAAAATTATCTATAGGAGCGTCTTCTGAAATATTTGCATTGTAATATTTGTGAGCAAATTGAATAGTTTGATCGCTATTGGATGTAAAAGAAACGTCTAACACTAAGTATGAGTATCTTGCTGGTGTACCTCTATCAGCTACTGATATGTTCAATGTATGATCCATATAATCAGGTGACCTAGCCAATACTAACACGCCCGAATTATACCCTATGTTGAACACCCCCTTTTCATTTCCCGAACTTATAGTGTATATTAATTGACCGTTGTCTTTGGAATCGTAATCAACAGCAATCACACGACATAACTGATTACCAGGTCGGGTTGATGAATCAACATATAGTTTTTTAAACATAGGTGAAACAATATTTGGACTATTGTCATTAATGTCTTGAACAATTATTCTGGCTGTCAAGTCAGTATACAATCTTTCTGAAACGTTTAAAGCTTGATCTGTTGCGCGGATAACTAAAATATATTCACTGATAGATTCAAAATCTAGTTGGTCCATTAGAGTTAACATTCCTGTAAAAGGATCTAACGAAAACACTTCAACAGGCCATTGCTGGGTAATTGAATATCGAATCTCAGAGTTAGCCTCTGTGTCAGCATCAGTAGCAGTGAAGTTATAAACAATGGATCCAACCACAGAGTCTTCGGGTATGGTAAGTGTTATTGGATCTGCCGGCCATTTTGGCGCATTATCATTGACATCTAAAATTTCCACCCTCACCGAAACTGAACTGCTTTGAGGGTTTGTACTGGTGCCAGTGTCAAGTGCATTTACTTCCATTTCATAAATAGATTTTATTTCTCTATCAACTCTTCCAGCTATAATTAAAGCGCCCGTACTTCTATCTAAATCAAACACATGTTGACTTACATCAGAATGCCTTAGCGTGTACTTGACCTGACCACGGCCAGCTGAAGCAGCACCAACTCCTTCTGAGCAAGCTATGCGGCCTGCTGTACTACCAATGACAGAGTCTTCTTTAACCTAAAAAAAATCCAAGTTCGTATGATTTATTAATATTAATTAACACAAAATAGATTATAGCGATCATTTATGCATATTACATAATAATTTATTTACTATTAACTTCAACTTCCAATAATTTTTTTCATATCGAAAATTAATTTCATTTTAAATCAATTAATTATACAGATTTATTAATAATTATACTTGTTCAATGAACAAATTTAATAGGTCAACCACGTTTATCGTTGTAATAATTCGCATGAAAGTTATGCTACAAACGTTGGTCACGTGCTACAGAATTAAATAGAAGAAATTTTTATTAAGAATAAATCGATGGATTTACGAAGGTAATCGATGACCAGTTATCAGTAAAGATAGGAGGCATAACGTGAGATAATGACGATTAGCTATATTTTCTGTTCGAGATTTTCAGAAACTCAGAATGTATAGACTGTAATCACTTAATTAAATCGATCTAATTTAATAACGTAAATCTTGCGAAGAATTATTTATATATGCAAGCATTGTTTGTGACTAATTATATATCTGATTTAATTCAACTGAAAAAAATTATTCACGAAAAATGTATAAAGGAAAGTTGTATTGTTTTAAATTAAACCACGACTGAAAATTGACACTTATTAGAATGAAAAAGACAAACCAATAAACAAACTTGTACATCGTGTGTAAGTAAAATACAAAATCTTGGCTGTTATTCTTTTTTCAGGTAAATAATTTATATTTTATTTACATAACAAAATTAAAAATTTTGAAATGTATCTTATAAATAAGTAAAAAAATCAAATGGACAAAAAGTGAATTCATTAGACTCAAACACAAAGTCAATAATATGTACCCTGTTTCAGTTGAATTACATAAGCGTTATTCTTTATTTCAATATAGTCGGTGTTTGCTATTCTCGGCTGTATAAACCAGTTATAATTTTTCAACTAAATACATTTTATTTAACTTTCATTAGAATTTTCTCGTTTTTAGTCACCTTTATTTTAATTATAATTTTTGAAAAAATTACCCAGGTGTAATATAATGACAATCTCAAAAGTTTTGAATATCTTAGAATACTTTGCTTACAAAACTGTAGAGAATGACACAATTAGTATCGGGACTACTATCTCTGCATGTCGTCCATTGTTTATTTATATCCTCGAAATAATCTAATTTATTTTTAACCAACGAGTTTACGTAGAATGTAATAACAACAATAAGCTGCATTTTATTTTCAGTAGAAAAAATTTTAAAATGCGATTCAGAGACATTTAAATTTATTACCCGATGAAAAATTAGTCCACAAAAGCGTTCCAGCAACTGGTTATACGGGGGAGTTCTATTCAGTCTGACCGAAGATTACTAAATTTTGTCTGGGAATTTATTTTATTTCATTCAAAGAGCTTAATAATAACAGAAATTCATTTTTATCATTAATTTACACCCAGAGAAAAACCTCGATCTATATAATAAATTCATTGTTCAATTTGATAAATATATCATTACTATTGAATCAATGATATATTTATCAATATGATATTTTTTTTTCTTGTCTTGAATAATAATTATTTATAAGAATAGTTATTTTGTTCGTATTAATAAAACATTATCATAAATCCTTGATAAAATTTCTCTTTCAATTTTGATTGAGGTTTTTCTTTGGGTGTAGTGTTTTACGGTTGATAGGAACGCAACGTTATTTTATTTACAAAAATTTACAAATGAACGCTTGGTAGAACACTTTAAAAAAGACTATAAATATATTATGGGTATTCTATGAAAGAAGGAAGATAATTACTTGGAATACAAGACTAGAGCTGGTGAAAGTAGGTCTGTTATCGTTCAGATCCAATACTTCAACCCTGAGCATCCTAATAGTTTGTTTTGGTGGATATCCATTATCTGTGGCAGCTACTGATAATCTGTACATGGACTTTTCTTCATGATCCAATGACACTTTAGTTCTTATGATTCCGCTAATACGGTCTATGAAAAATTCACCATTTCCATCGGAGTCGCGACCTATTTCAATCAATATTAATAATTATGTTACATTAATATAAAATAACAATATCGGTTGACAATTAATTGACACATTTTATGAAACAATCAACACCAAACATCAATATGGAAATAATAAATAGAAAATCTGTATGTTAGATATACAAGTATAATATCTTACCTTTAAGAATTGAATAGGTGATCGTAGCGTTACTACCTTGATCGGGATCTGTAGCTTTAATAGTAACTACTTCCACGCCAGGAGGCTGTTGTTCTCTTACGGCTACAACATCCTGCTGAGGATCTATGATGACGGGAGCGTTGTCGTTAACGTCCGTTACGGCCACCTTAACCTTCACACGTTTGCTACGGGCCCTGACTCCGCCGTCCTGGTCCTTGGCTTCAACAATTATTTCATGCAATGCTCGAGATTCCCGATCTAATGGTTCCTTAGTACTCAATTCACCTACATAATGACAAACACGGTTTTTTATTTAAAAATTATTTGAATAATATTTATAGTAATGTATTTGATCAAGTCACTGGATTAGAAACTTATACGGATTTGTTTGTGATAAACTTTCCATCACGATTAGGTTAACTCATTATTTGCGGTATTTTAAGGGGGAACGTTTGCTATTTTTTATCATGATTATTAAGTGATCTTATTGTTCATTTTTTTAACTTTCCACGAGCATTTTTCTTATATTTACATTTACTTAATTACTGATGTAAGGTTTATTGCGTAAATATTGGAACTTAAATATAACGCAAACACACCAATATTTATACAAGTGGTCGGGTTATAATACTTAGATAATAATAACAACAAAATCAACTCCATATAGAAAAAACACAAAGACGAGAGTGTTTATAAATGGCATTTTGGTGTTTGTTTGTGATCGGTATACACACATATTTAATGTCTACATATTTGTATGTATTAGTATATTTAAAAAAATACTAAAACTGAATAGGGGAATAATAGCTATGCAAGTCAGTGAAAGAATGCATGGTTTGCTTCGTGTCCTTTAAGACATAAAGTAAAAGCATTTAAAATCGCTTTGCATTAATTAAAAAAACAAAGCGACCTACCCAAGTACACACAATATCGCCAGTTTTGTGGGTTACATATAATACAGGATTAATATTTCGTATGTTTTTAATGATCGATGCAATCAGATGTTGGTTGGTTGGTCAACGGTAATGAGTAAAAAAATAAACTGCAGTGGACAATCGTCTTATAGAATAACGCGTTTTAGTTGTGTTCTCTGCTACGAGCGTAGGCAGCCGTTTAATTAACATCCAAGCACGAGGAGCCCACGAGAAGTGAAAGAAGGAGGAGATGACGACGGCAATGATGATTTGGTCTTTCAGCATAACATAACACAAACCAATTTCAGATGGAACATTCATTGTTCGCGCTACGATTCAATATATTATTATTATGTACAAACGCGTATAATTAACATTTTCACTGTTTTTATAGCCTCCTGTTAAAATAATAACAATATAATATGTTTGTACCGGTATTTATTATATAAACTACACGATTGAAACTCGTATACATTCATAAGAACTCAATCATTTGGTAAACAAATTGAATAAACTTAGTGAACTGACACAAAACTTTCTAAAATAAGTTTTAATTTCAAAATTTTATTTAGTATGGACAGTAATAAACTTATATCAAATAGATAAAAACAAAGAGCTAAGTATAACAACTTCGTCTTATAATAAACACTTTAGTTTTATAAAAATACATTTAACAACAAATATAAAACATAGTAGAAAAACAAGACGATCATTACACGCGCCTAGTACGATAGAGATACGCGGAGCTGTTATTAATCGTTATGGTCACGAAACTTGATTGTAATATTATGATAATAAATAAAGTGTATTCACTAATAATGTAAATAAATTATATATTGTAAATGAATTCCATGTAGAAACACTACCGATTATACTGAAAATATGAACTCTCAAATTAATATTTAATTTTGTCTGAATTAAATCTTTCGAAACTGTGCCGTTTTAGTTTTTAATCAGCGAGTGATACTTATCGAGGTTGTGGGGGCGTATCTAACAGCTGTCTGTCAGGTTTTTTGATGTTTTGTCGGCTTTAATGACGACTTTTCTAACGCTATACGTTTTATATGAGTGAGTTTCGTGATCGCGATGCGTTTACTTTAACAACCTACCGAAATGTTTTTATTCATATTTTAAAAAATCGATTTTTTTTTTTTGTTGGTACTTGGATGTTCAAAATAAGAATAAACATCGACTATGCTACAAAGTTATTCACCAAAAATAGAGGTTCACCTATTATTTTTTTTATCTTGTACTGCTGTCGGCAATCGCGTGTAATAAGGAGCTGCTGGAGTAACTCGGATGTCTGGTAAAGAGCAGTCGGTACTCGGTAGGTCTTTATACGGGCCTCGGGGTGATCGAAAGACCTCAAGGACTCACAGATTGTTTTTCATTGGGATTTTTACCATCCGCCGCAGTTCAGTCCGGCTGCTGCGTTACACACTAAAATATTTAATTTTCGGTGAGATTTGGTCAGCTGTAAATCATTATAGACTCCGAGTGCTGTCTATGTAATACACTAAATCTAGTATCCACACCGAATATAATAACTATATTATAATATATTTTATTATAACACAGCGGGTACACTAGGCCCTCAATCTTGTAACATGCGAACCAAACACGCACAAAACTCGAGAAATAATAATAATACATATTATTGTTTTCATTTTTTCAGACAAAATAATGAAAAATTATATTGCTATTGTATGGTGACTTTTAACCTGCCATTTAGAAATACCATACGTTCAAACTAGTGAAACAACCCCTCCAACGAACTAATTTAGAGTTTTTTTCGATAATGATTAACATCATAGCATTAAAAAAAAAAAACGGAAAACAACAAGTTTTTGATGAAATGAAACACTTCTATCAAACAAAAAAATGTGTTATACTGATGCGTTGGTTATACGCTTCTATCCTTTTTGTGATCCGAGTTTTTAAGTTAGTTTTGCGCGTAAAAGTGGTAGCATTAGATTATGAAGGTATTAAATATACTTATTACTGAACACTGCCGCATGAAATAAAAAAAATTACTGGACATTGTATTTTATTCTTGAGTGCATTTGGAATATAGAAGGAACATTCTAAGTAGTCAAAGTAACCTGACAAATGATAAATAATAATAATAACGAAAAATGTAGGAATGGTTATAATATGACAAGTATTTCTATTCAGTTTGTTTATTCTCGTGTTAGGTGTCAATCAAATGCGAAGGTACATAAAAGCTTGGCTGGTTCTAAAGCGACTAGTCATTGAACGCACTAGAAAGAAAAACAGAACAAACGACAGACCTCTTGAACGCTCAGCGCCTTTTGCTTTGGCCCGGAAGCGTCGGGTACATGTACAATGGCCCATATTATGATCATCACGGTGCCTGTATCGTTAAAATATTTATTATTATAATGCATACACGTATTTTTATTAAGTACATTAGGCACTGAAAGAATTATAGCAGCAAAATACTACAATGTATTTGTATAAATGACGGTAATTATCAATTAATATAATAAACTATTATACACACGCGATATGAAACAAAAAACATCGTGTGTATACTCGCGTCTAAGCGGGTCCAGCCATGAGATGTATTGTATATTAAGAGGAATAACATCATACCAAGCGAATTAATTATAAACGTCAACTCTGTTCGGACAAAAGTAAGTTATCGAAGTAATTATGCCGTTCGTCGAACACGGCCGGAAGTGTCGTAACTTTATTTGGTCTAACAAATTAATCGCGTTGGGTGTGTAAAGTGCCGGCTGGATAAAAAAAACTTACAACAGCAGATATCAATGTCATCGGTGCGGTCATTGTATCCATAAGGCTAAAGTGTTTCATACAAAGAGTTAATCAAATTTCGTTTAAGTATTCAACCCACGCGTCAAATGTTTACAAATTTAGGCACAATTGATTTGTTAAAGAACCGACCTGACAGTTTTTAATTATTTCGTATGAAAACCCCCGCGTGTGATTATTTTAGCGTCACTCTAACTGTTTGTAATTATAACGCCGCATGAGACTTCAGAGTTGGTATTTTTTCTTTAGTATATTTCTTTTCTGAAATATGACAAAACATTACTGATCTAATCGCAAATATAATAGCCGTAAACTTTTTTTTTCGGCTACTAAACAGTCAACACGAGCAATAATCGATCAAGTTTTACTTAAGTACACAAGTTAGAAGAATTGTGTAATCATTTAATGTGTACGATGCGCTAACTAAGTTTCTATATATATATTTCCATGTCATAACGAACACTATGGGTTATTTTTCGATTGACAAGTGCTGTCTACGCGTGAATTGGAATTGACATATTATAATTACTCTTAACTCAAATGACTAATGGGTAGTTTATTATTAGATAAATCACAAATGACGTCAGTGAATATGAAAGTGGACCATGTCTGATTAAATATTACAGATCGATAGAATAGTGTCAATGACTTACCCGAGTACAGGTTGATGTTGAAACTCGAGTTGGCGGGTAAAAGCGAATACCGGATCAGCGCATTATCGCTGGCATCTCGGTCTGTGGCGAATACGGTTCCGAACACAGTGGCGATAGGCCGGTTTTCTTCAACGTGAAACTCATAGTGATCCCTGTCGAACTCGGGGTCGTTATCGTTGACGTCTGCGACGGTGATCACCACTATGACAGTAGCGGCAAGCGCGCTGGGAGATCCGTTGTCCGTTGCTACCACCGTCAGCTCGTACGTGTCGCGTGTTTCCCGATCCAGCGGAGCTTTGACGTACACCCATCCTGTGTTGGGATGTATGTCCAGAGTTTCGCCATCACCACTGGATACTTTGTACGAAATTCTGGCATTGTTTCCGCTATCGCCGTCCAGTGCAGTAACTTGAACAATCTGTAAAAACCATACATTTGTTAATTTATGTCAACGTTAAACAAGTCGTTGTTAGTTTCACAGCTCAATAGTTAAGTATATTTGCAAATATTAAGAATTATTGTCTGGTCTGTGTGATTCTAACACGATTATTCATGCCGAGACTTACGAATCTCAACGGTGGCGTTGAATGCAATGTAAAACGTCGTTCGACGACAGTCATAAATCAACAGCAACACCCGAACACTACAGGGTTTCGGTCGTGGGTAGATTACATTTTTTTTTTTTTTATGATAAAGAATTCATCGTCTCAGAATGGCGACGATTAAAACGAATTGAAAAATTTTATCATCGCTAAATAATTATACTATTGTCTTGACGATTTAGTTTAAACGTACTCACAATACTCGTAGGTATTATCATAGATAGGTGATTACTGAGTACATTCAACTTGTACCAATAAAAGCACACATACATTATAATAATAGTATGATTATGTGAATTATACGCGATGAGAACGATGACCGAGATGTTGATCTACTAGATCGTCAAGGTGGCCATGGAGGACCAACGCACGCGCTCTATGCTCCGGCGACAAACAACGGCATTCTCGTGCATGAACTCGACCCCGGGACCCACGGGGGGACCTAACGCGCACACCATCAATCACTGGTTCGGCTGGTGACGAGTAATAATTACTATCGGAACGCAGTTGTGCCAACAATGACGTATTGTTCGCGCCTCTGTTGGGGGCCTCGACACCCCCCTGCGCGCAAACCTCTACCCAAAATCATCAAAAGCGTTTTTTTATATAATACCCCCGAAGTGTTCAGCGTCTCTCATCTCCAGTGACGCTCTTATTATGCGAGACACAATTGTTTACGTGTAAGGGCTGACCGCGGGGCACGAAAATATTAAATGCGGTGCCCGCGAGAATCAAATCATTAACCCCTTCCAGTGCTTATTGTACACGTTCATAGATTATCTGTCGTTACATTGTGTTTATTATTGTTGTTGTTGTTACTATTGCTTCCCCGTGATAATATTATTAACTAGCCGCCGTTTATTGTTTAATTGGTTCCACAGAGGCAGCGTTTCTTTCGACCGATTTCTTGTCCGCTACATTCGATCATTACACTATTGGAATTGTCCTATCGGCAAAAACGTTTAAAAATTCTTTGACGAATGCGTCCGAGAAAAAAACGTGTTTGTTTAACTCAACAAAACGTCATTGCACTATCTGTAAAAACCCATTGTTATGGTCCACGATGTGTACAACTCACCAGGTTAATTAACAGTCGGATCGAATGAATATTCAATGTATTTGTTGGGGTCGCGAGTGGTGTCTTACCAATCCGTTATGCGAAAATGATCCAGGCACACGAGAACCACCGCAGAGGATCTACACGACTGACCGCCTCATCTCAGATTGATCATAGTCGTCGCTCACCCGTTTTTCCCTATCGCATTGCACACCGTTATTAATTAATGAGTTTCGTTCGTGACACACGACGTGGGAAACGAATACGGGTTCGATCGACCCACCGAAGCGTATGGTCATTGGCTTATTTTCTACTTAGCAAAGAGAATAAGAACATACAATATCAAACACAATTAAAACGCTTCGTCGCGACAAGTAATTAAAGCCGATTCTTGGAAAAAGTCAGCTAATTACTGATCATAATAAGTTTACCGTGTGAGAATGATTAAACGATATACTAATTCTATAATGACCTATAGAGTTCAAAACTGTATTAATGACCAGATTGTAGTTTTACATAGCCCCTGCGTTCAAAAACGTTTAATTTGGGCATAACTCAATCGGTCTGCATAATAACTAACCATAGTAATAATATTATTACTATGGTCGATAACAAGGTAACAGCATCGCTTAATGACAATTTGTTTAATTTGCCCACCTGAGAATTAACTGGCAACGACTCCAAGATTGTGGCGGCGTAATGCTGTCGCTCAAACACTGGCGGATTGTCGTTGATGTCTTGCACATCAATAAGCAGAGTCATATTGTCCGATAGTGAGGGTACACCTGAGTCTCTGGCTACCACGGTTACCGTCAACCTGTGTACCACCTCATAGTCTAAACCGTGGATCAGACTGATTGTACCACGGTTGTAATCCACCGTGAAGTAAGACGGTTCTTGAGTGGAAGTCACGATTTCGTAGTGTACTTTTCCATTAGCGCCAGAATCTGGATCGGAGGCATGTGCAGTGTATATGGCTGAACCGATGGCAACGTTTTCCGGTATGGCTATCCGCACAGAACTTGAATCGAATTTGGGAGGATTGTCATTAACATCTTCAACTATTACATTAACCTGAAAATATAACAAAAATGACGTGTAAATGAAACATAATAAATTTGACAAGGATATAATTGATTTTTTTTTTATGAATGCATTCAGAATAGCGTAAGATGTTTTTTGTTTTATCTTAATTTTTTTCAACTTTATGAGCCATGAGACTATAATGTTCAATTTAGTCATAGATTAGTTATTGAATGTATAAGCACTGTTGTACGATTCCAAATCATCGGTTGGGTTGTACACGCCGTGTGCTTAGACGTCGGAGGTTTCAAGTAAGATTCGTTTTATTGCCGACAATGCGTTTGAATATACTCTACTGAGATTTGCGCATTGACCATTAAATCAACACAAACTCATAAATTTCCCTCTAGCAGCACTGGGTCGATATTTAAACGATTTTACAACTGATCCGGAGCTCTAAGAGGGCACAGAGAAAAATACATACGAAATGGGTACTACTTACATAAGTACCAGGTATATGGGTAACAAAAGGTTATTACGATACATACTTGAGTGTGTGCGCCATAATGTTTGCTAGTCTCAGAATACGCTTTGACGTCAAGCAAGACTGTCTTGAACGATTCGTGGTCCAATGCTGCTGTAGTTTTGATAACGCCTTTTACGGGATCTATGCTAAAATATTCGTCGGCTTCTTCGGAATGTATTGCATACCTTACCGATTCAGAATCTTCTAAATCTAAAATGTCAAAAAAATAATTACAATCAAAACTCCCAAGAGAAATAATAACAATAAAAAGATTGAAAATGAAATAAAAGTCTACGGTTGAATTGTTTTTCTATATAAATTATATAAAATTATAACTAGCACGATTATCTAATATGGAAAATCATAAGTAAAAATATGTGACAAACGTAAAAATAAAGAATCATATGATATGTTTGGCAAAAAGAAAAAAACATCAACCGGTTATTCTACTGTGACATACAAATCAATCAATCAGATTGCTAGTTGTTACGGAAGTACGTGCAATTTATTATATTTGCAGAAGGATGGGAGTTAAATATTTAATTAAACAGCTGTTTAAAAACAAATAGAAAAAACGGTTGCCCTCTAGTAGCAATTTGCAAAAATATACTTTGTCAGAACGTCGTAAAAAAAAAAAAACGGCGGCGATTCTACATAAATCCAATACACATCATGCCATACGATTTATTGTGCATTTTTT